TTTTTAAATCGGATTTTTTTTTCTCCTGAAATTCAGCATCTTTTTTTTATTACATTAAACAATACTTTTTATTGCTCTATTTGCATTAAAACAAAACGTGGAAAAAGGCTTATTTTTGGACAAAAACCATGGTCTAACCTCTTTGGAAAAATGCAACTTTAGGCCTTTTATAAATCGATTTTTTTACTACTACTTTTTTTTTGTATTAAAACAATTTATGGAAAAGGTCTTATTTTTTTGACAAAAACCATGGTCTAACCCCTTTAAAAAAATGCAAATTTTGGCCTATTTTAAAGCGATGTTTTTTACTGTTAAATTAAGCCTCTTATTGTTTTTAAACTTTTCAGAACTCTTTTTATTGATCTATTTTGCATTAAAACAATAGATGGAAAAAGGTTTAATTTCTGACAAAAATCATGGTCTAAACCCTTTGGAAAAAAGCAAATTTTAAGCTTTTTTAATCGATGATTTTATTGTCTAAAAAGACTTCCATTTTTTCTGGAACTTAACAAAACACTTTTTATTGATTCATTTTGCATTAAAAGAAAAGTTGCAAAAAGTCTTAATTTTTGGACAATAACCATGGTCTAACCCCTTTGGAAAAATAAGAATTTGGGGCCTTTTTAAAATCGATGTTTTTTTATACCCAAAAAAATGCTTCTTTTCGTTCTTGAACTTCAGCAATAGGTTTTTCTTGTTTCAATTGCATTAAAACAAAGGATAGAAAAAAACTTAATTTTTTGACAAAAACCATGGACTAACCCGCTTGGAAAAATGCAAATTTTAGGCCTTTTTTTAATCGATTTTTACTACTTAAATTAAGCTTGTTTTTTCTTTAAAACATTACACAACACTTTTTATTGCTCTATTTTGCATTAAAACAAAAGATGGAAAAAGTCTCAATTTTTTGACAAAAAACATGGTCTAACCCCTTTGAAAAAATGCAAATTGAAGGCCTTTTTTAAATCGATTTTTTACTACTTAAATTCAGCAACGTTTTGGTTTATTAAATTAAACAACACTTTTTATTGCTCTTTTTTGCATAAAAGCAAAACATGGAAAAAGGCTATATTTTTTGACAAATTTTGGGCGTGTTTTAAAGGGATGTTTTTTATAGTGAAATTAAGGTTTTTTTGTTTTAGAACTTTTAAGAACTCTTTTTATTGATTCATTTTGCATTAAAACAAAAGATGGAAAAAGGTTTAATTTTTTGACAAAAACCATAGACGAACCCCTTTGAAAAAATGTAAATTTTAGGCATTTTTTAATTCGTCTAACCCGTCTAACCCGTTTAAAAAAAATGCAAATTTTGACCTGTTTTAAACCGATGTTTTTTTTAGTTAAATTAAGCCTCTTTTTATTTTTAAACTTTTCAAAACTCTTTTCATTGATCCATTTTGCATTAAAACAATACAGGGAAAAAGATTTAATATTTTGACAAAAACCATGGTTTAACCCCGAATCGAATTTTTTTAATACTCAAATTCAGCTTCTTTTTTGTTTTAAAACAATAAACAAGTTTTTTTATTGCTCTATTTTACATTAAAACAAACACATTTTCCTCATAAATTTTGCATTAAGGCAAAAGAAGAAAAAATCTTAATTTTTTGACCCAAACCATGGACTTACCTTATTGAAAAAATGCAATTTAAGCCTATTTAAATCGACGTTTTTTAAAGTCAAATAGGGTTTCTTTTCGTTCTAGAACTTCACCAAAACCTTTTTCTTGCTCTATTTTGCACTAAAACAAAAGGTGGAGAAAGTCTAAATTGTTTAGACAGAAACCATGGACTAACCCCTTTGGAATTATGCAAATTTGGGGCCTTCATGAAATCGGTGCTTTTTGTAGTCTAAAAAGGCTTCTTTTCTTTCCTGAACTTCACACTTTTTAGTGATGCATTTTGCATTAAAACAAAAATGGAACAATCTGAATTGTTTGACAAAAACCATGGATAAACCCCTTTAAAAAAATGCAAATTTTGGGTCTTTCCCTAATCGATGTTTTTTATAGTCAAATAAGGTTTGTTTTCGTTCTAGAACTTTACGAATCCTTTTTTTCTTTATCCACTTTGTGTGAAAAAAATATGGAAAAAGTCTTAATTTTTGACAATAACCATGTTCTGACCAGTTTGGAAAATTGTGAATTTTTGGGCTTTTATAAATCGAGGTTTTTATAGGCTAAATTCGCTTCTTATTTTCTACAACTTAACCAAACACTTTTTTATCCATTTTGCATTAAACAAAAGATGGACAAATCTGAATTTTTGGACAAAATCTACGGACTTACCCCTTTGGAAGAAAAGCAAATTTTTGACCTTTTTTAAATTGACGTTTTTATATATAGTCTCGAATGACTTCCTTTTTTAAATCTATGTTTTTTATAGTGAACTAAGGCTTCTGTTCCTTCTAGAACTTCACCAAACACTTTTATTGTTCCATTTTGCTATTAAACAAAAGATGGAAAAATCTGAATTTTTGACAAAATAGTTTTGGAGAAATGCCAATTTTAGGTTTTCATTGTTAATATTTTTTATTGTCTACAAAGGCTATCCTTGTTTCTAGAACTTCACCGACTTTTTCTTAATCCACGTTGCATTAAAAAAAAAAGATGGAAAAAGTCTATTTTTTTTTACAAAAGTCTGGTGGAATAACCCCTTTGAAAAATACAAATATTGGGCCCTTTTAAATCGATGTTTTAAAAATCTAGAAAGGTTTCTTTTCTATCTATAAATTCACCAAACACCGTTTCTTGATCCATTTTGCATTAAAACAAAAGGTGAAAAAAATTACTTTTTTTGACATAAACCAGGGACTTACCCATTTCGAAAAATGACAAGTTTCCGGTTTTTTAATTGATGTTTTTATGGTCTGAAAAAGCTTCCTTTTTTTCTAGAACTTTACCAACCCCTTTTTATAGATCCATTTTGCATTAAAGAGACAGGTTCACGGTCAAGCGCATGCTTATTAATTAGATTACTTTTTTCCAATTTATTACTTATTGTATCGGTTAATTATCCCACTCACATGTATCTTAGCGATCTCAGAGTAACCTGAAGTAGGATGGAGGAGTACTAATATCGCAGAAGAAATCAGTGGATTATGCCAACACTACCAAAGTTAAATTTATTGTTGACCCGAAGGTTTTATTCCATGGTTGATTAATTTACAGCTATTTGCAAATATTTAAATTGATCAAGTTCAAGTGACTTCCAGGGGTGTGCAGATTGGTTCTTTGACAACATTAGGACATGATCATATTGCTTGCATAGACCATACAGCCTGTCCCGGCAGAAAAACAGCATTTTGATAAATGAGCACGCGCTGAATCGTGAACCTGTCCCTTTAAAACAAAAGACGGAAAAAGTAACAATTTTTGACAAAAACTATGCTCTGACCCCTTTGGAAAAATGCAAATTTTGAGGCTTTTTAATTCTTATTTTTTATAATCTAAAAAGGCTTCTTTTCTTTTTAGAACTTTACCAAACACTTTTTCTCGATCCACTTTCAGACAAAAGAAGAAAAACTTTGAATTTTTTTTACCCAAATCATGGACTAACCCTTTTTTTTTTTTAAAAATGCAAATGTGCCTTTTTTAAATCGATGTTTTTTATATTCATGCAAAGAAGTCTTCTTTTGCTTTAAGACCGTCACCAAACACTTTTTTCTTGATCCATTTTGCAATAAAACAAAAGCTGGAAAAAAGTCTCAATTTCTGACGAAAACCATGGACTAACCCCTTTAAAAACTGCAAATTTGGGGAGTTTTTATTCCATATTTTTTAGGCTAAAAAGACTTTTTTGTCAATGTAGATCTTCACCAAACACTCTTTCTTGATCCATTTTGCATTAAAACAAAACATGGAAAAGTGTCAATTACTTGACCAAAACAATGGACTAACCCCTTTGGGAAAAAGCAGACTTTGGGCATTTTAAACCAATGTGTTTATGGTCTAAAAAGGCTTCTTTTCTTTCTAGAACTTCGCCAGGCCTTTGTCTTGATCTATTTTGCATTAAAACAAAATATAGAAAAAGTCTCAATTTTTTTTAAAAAAATCAATGGACTAACCTCTTTTGAAAGTTGCAAATTTTGTCCCTTTTTTAATCGATGTTTTGATATTCTAAAAAAGCTTTTTTTCTGAATTCACCTGCCAAAATATTGACCAGTTTGAGACTAGATTGGTCCTGGGGCGTGATCAGAAGCCTATTCAAAAAAAGCAAGTTCTTGAAAACTAATTTTCGAACGGTTTTTGTCGTCAGTCAAACACATGGCAAGAAACTTAAATCTAAATTATGGGTAGACTATGGGTCTAAACTGGTTAATTTTATTTGTGCCAGAACAAACGCAATTAATCTGGGAATCCCTTACATTACGTCTTTCTTCCCCTACCCCGAAAGTCTGTACGGACGGACAGTGTACGCAAACGTTTTAACCAAATTTGCTTTCATAAATAGGTTTCCATTTTCTATAGCAATGGATTCTCCCCTGCTCGCGCGCGAACGCTCCGCTACTACTGGAAAGTCAGCACAATAATTCGACACGTTTTCAAAATTCTGTTTACATGTCGTACAATCTCGAGTTTTTAAAAAATAATTGTGTTTCTCATTGTTATAAATATGCACCGCCAATATTGCAGTTTTTGAATCACGCTTGGAAACATATTCGTTTACTGCAGAACGCAGTCTATTCGTAAAACATATTATTATGCTTATGGACAAACATTTTAGCCTAGTACACACTAGTGCAGCAAGATTAAAAAGTAAATAAATAAATAATTAAATAAAGGCTTGAGAAGACTGTGACATACTTTGCCCAAAGTGATGTTAACAGTTTTCTCATGATAAAGAGAAAATCCCTTGTATTCAAAAGTATTCTTCCTCGAATTCGGAGACGCATTGACTGGTAGGGAAATTTATTTTTATTCGAAAGGTGTCTTAATCATTTTGCAATTGGTAGTGGCTAGTCACATTGAAAACCCTACTGCTTGCTCGTCTTTAGCAAATAAGAGGCAACCTGGAGTGATTATTGAACTATGGCAAGGAATCGATGGCTACTTAATAGAAAAACTGTTGCAAGATCCTCGTTTTCCTGACATGCCGACAAAGGTTTTTCACTCGCCAGTGTTTCAGCAACCACGTAACTGGGGAAATACCTTTGGAACCCGAATCAGAGGCTACTTTGTGCCACAGAAGACGGGATTACACATCTTTTTTATAGGTAAGAAGACTAGACACGTACACTGTATTTGATTCTTATCTTTTCTGCATGGACCTTATTTTCGTTAACTCAAGGAAATAATTTTGCTACGGACGGAGTTTTGACGTGCTAATCTGAGTTTCCTTACGGTTAGACGATACTTTTTTACTTCAAAAGTGGGCGATAAGTGTCGCATTTAAATTGTTTTAGAGACCAAAAAAGTAGCTAATAGATTCTTCGCACGTGGTTTGCAAAAATGGTGTTTTACTTCTTTGCATGATTAATGCTTGTCTCCCGCATTTAAGATTTTCAATAACACTGATGAAAATTTTTAACGGGAGAAAGGGGAGAGATAAAAGTACTTTTCCTCAAAGGATGTTGATTTGGTGTTAAGCGGCTATAAATTACTTCGAAGACGTTTATTTTTTTACTCCTTCCTGTTAAGTTACAAACCACCTACAGTACTTTAAATTATGCTGAAACAATGTTTTGCTCCTTATTTTTTCAGCATGCGACAATGAATGTCAGCTCTTCCTCAGCATCACAGATAATCCAGACCGAAAGATATTAATATGTCGGGTTCAAAAAGGCCACGAGTCTGAATACATGCAATTCACATCGTAAGAAGTCTGATGCCATATACTCTCGTATCAAAGTAAAACAACCATGGGTAAAACCCTTTGGAAAAATCAAATTTCGCGAATATATAAGATCTATAATTGAAATATATAGAACATCACCGAACTTGTTTTCAAAGCCTTAAGAATAGAGAATGAAGAACAAATTTTAAATTTTTGGCGAATATCATGGGTTAACCCCTTTGAAAAAACTCCAATGTCGCGAATGTAAGGGTTCTATATTTTTAAAGTCTAATTCCATCTAGACCATCACCAAAAAGGGGTTAAAGGGGTAAAAGGGGTTAGAAGCATGGGGTTAACTCCTTGGGAATAATCCAATGTCTCGAATAAATAATATCCATATCTATATGGTCTAAAAAGGTTTATTTACTATTTACAACGTCACCAAACATTTTAAAGGCCCAATTGACACGAAAATGAAGAAAAAAAAATTAAACTTTTTGTTTAAATCTTGGGTTTATCCCTTGAAAAAATTCGTTTTCGCGAATACATAACATCTATGTACTTTAAAGTCTAAAATATTTTGTTTTCATGATTTCTGGAAAATCACCAAACAGTTTTTCAGTACCTAATTTACTCAAAAATAGAGCGTGTAGATATTTTTATTTTTTGCCAAAATCAAGAGTTAACCCTTTCATGGGTAAAATCTAATTTCGCGAATATCTCAAATCTATGTTTTTATAGTCTAAAAAGCTTTGTTTTCTATCTAGAAGATCACCAAAAACATTTATCAATACCTAACTTACTCTAAAATAGAGAATGTAGAGTTTTGCAAAAACAATTTTGCCCAGAATCAAGGGTTAACCCTTTTGGAAAATTCAAACTTTGCAAATATATCAGATCCATATTTTCATATTGCAAAAAACCTTGTTTTCTATCTAGAATACCGTTATATTAAAAATGTTTTACAAGAGCTAATTTACTTAGAATAGAGAATGACGAAATGTTAATTTTTTGGCCAATGGTAACCGCTTTCGAAAAATACAGTTTCTCGAATATATAAGATCTTTGTTTTCATTTCATCTAGAACATCACCAAACATTTCTCCAAGGCCTATTTTGCCAAAAAAATAAAGAATGAAAAAAATTGAACGTTTCAATTTGTTGCCAAAATCATTCCTTATTGGAATTACGTCTAAACTCCTCGCCATCGAGAATCATGCGATTACAGAACTGTCGGTCATTACGCTTTAAATACACTGTAACCTGCACTATAGTATTTAATAATGATAATATTTTTTATTCAGCCATGAGAAGTTGATCAAGGTGACAAAGTAATTTTATTTGATCATTCTAGTTACCAAGAACAGCAATCTGACCCTATACCACTAAGAAAAGGTTCGTATTACTACATCGAGGCGCTTCACAAGGAGCAGTATGGCAGCGACCACATTGAGGTAGCTGTTCAGACGCCCGATAACAAAACCTATGCACCCATCCCCTCCCAGTTTCTGTGGACACTTGCGCCCTCTAAGAAACAAGGTACGGATGCCATTTTTTTTCTAATTAGTCGAATTGTTAGGAGCTCTAAGCTATACTAGAAAAGAGAGGATGATTATACAAATGCCTGCCCTAACCACAATTTCCATAATACTACATAACTCTCAATCTAGCAAAACCTATCGTTACTTGTGGTAGTCTGAAACTTCCCTCTAAAACGAACTTTCATACAATTTACAATCTACAAAGCCACAATAACAATTCATTTGTGTAATTGTGACATCCTTGCATAAACATTGCATGAGCCGTTGTTCTATTGGTATGCGGGGCAAACATGAAGTTGTGATCAAGAATGAATGTTTTTAGAATCTTCAGAAAATTGTCGGTTCAATTTTAAACTGATTCATTGCAATTGCCATTTGTTGGACTTACCCAGGAGATATCGTCAAACATCTATTTTGTTTTACAGCTAAAGGAAACGTGCTTCTTCTTATGAAGATTGCAGCAAAGGCAGGCGCGAAGGCGGGGGCCTCCCTTGGCATAGCCGAAGCTCATAAAAGTGGGGCAAATGCAGGAGCCAGGGCTGGGTATTCAGCAGGTGCGAAGGCGGGAGCAGAGGCTGGGGTTAAAGCAGCAACTGATGCAGCTACTAAAGTAGCCACCCAAACACTAAAAATCGCCCTGGCGAAACTTGGACTACCGAAACCAGTAAGTTTCGATTCTTGGTGAATCTTAAGCTTTTAGAAGGAGAAGAAAAAAGGGAGGACACTGAAAAATTATTCAGTGGCAATTAATGATTAAGAAAATGAATAAGAATTCAATTGAACATGTAAAACTTACAACAACACTTCAGTTTTATTCAAGAAATGCAAGAAGGTCGTCTGAATCTCAAGATCTGTAGTCTCCCGATCGTGTCTTCAGCTAATTTTATGAATGAACAATAGACAGATAAATTACTTTTTGAAAATGTTTATTCGAAACCCATAAGTTAATCCTTAAAAGCAATTAATTCGCGTAACACTAACGTCCACGAAAGGAAAATCGGCTGAGCACATGGCAAAATTCAACACAAAATTATTTTCACTTCGGAGCTGGCACATTTTGTACTTTTTCTTTGACGCCGATGTCAAAATGTACAAAACGTTCATGTTTTATCAAACGCCAAAAATACAGAATCTTTCAATTAAAAACGTACTTTCCTTGACCATAGAGTACAGAATGTCCCTGAAATTTCTCCAAGAACTTCACTACGTTGGTTGTCTCAATACAAGCCAAGCGCTTCGCCGTTAATCTTGCGAAACCTTTCGTTTGTCCACAAAAAATAAGCCGAGCATTCTTTTGAACTTTTCCTTTCCATTTGTGTCTTTCATCGGTGAATTTTCAACCTTGAAATGCAACACTTTGGTCCTGAAAACCACAGCATGGTTAAGGCGTCCAAGCCAATTTATTGAAAAAGGATGTTCTTCACTTTTTAAACAATAGGCGACAAAAAACTCTCTTGAAAAGGAGACAAAAAACTCTCTTGAAGGAGGAGAAGAATTCGTATCAACTTAGTCCCTCCCTGAAAGAACCTACGGACGTAGGGACGTTATAACTAAATTTTCCTGCATCAATAGTTTCCAATTTCCATACCAATGGAGGCTCGCCGCGCGCCTGCTATAATATAATAGCGAAACCTCAATTGCTATATAAGAGAAGATGGAAACCTATCGATGCGAAAAAATCGGTTATGACGTCATCGTGCGCCTGCCCGTCCGCTTGTACGGACCAGCAGGGAAGGACTAAGTAGATTCTGCAAGGGAGGGGACAGGAAATCCAAGAAATGCAGCTTGCGTTTGTCTTGGAGAAACGAAAACCAGTCCACCTAGAGGCAGCCAATGCCTGTCGTTTCCAGTAAAGATATTGAATTACCTTTGTTTGAGGACAAACAAAAGTTTAAACTTTGACAATATGGTTTTAAGGTTGTGCTTTTAAACACTGATGACAGTTACATTCCGGACTCGATAGAAAAAAACTCAAAAGTCGGCACGATTTCTCTTTCAGGCCTTTCCTATTTATTAGGGAGCTTACGCAACGACGACGGCCACGGCAACGAGAACGTCAAAAGAGCAATAAGGTTATTAAGAAAAACAACAACTCTGCACGTGCATCAAGCTTTTTTGTACATTTTTTCTCGTCACTGCACGACTCACGTGAAATGCCTAATTTTACGTTTTATGGAGGACGTAAACAAGCGGCAGCGAATTTTCTTTCTCTCTCATAACTTGAGAGCGGTCCCAAACCAATCATCTGCTGGAAAATTCGCCAACATTTGACATTTTCAGCGAATTGGAGTAAATGTGAATTCATTTTGAAAGCTACCTTTTCGCTGCCGTCGTCATTGTCGATGCTAATTAAAGCTCCATATAGACTCTAGAGATCGTATCCTGTAAATTGGCTGCTACCAAAGAGTATCCTGCATTAAAACATTTTTTTGTTGTTGTTCAACATAAAACTCTTAGCTTACTGGCAGAGTTTTCGTCTCAGATGTGTTTGCGGGATATTTCATCTTAATCACCCAACCCTTCCCTCAAAAGGAGGATTCTTTTTAGTGGCTTAGAGTTATAAGTTAATTGCTTTATTATAAGTATATAAACGGAGGCTTCGCTTTTAGTCCTGGCTAAATTGATATATTTAAACGGAGATTTTCTTCTCCGTTTTACAAAAAAAAAAATACACGTCCATAAGTAATAACCTATTCGAATCGTTTTCGCCTGTCCACACGAAAACGCCGGATGGAAATACGATAGCATATCCTTTACGGATAGTGCATAATGCCAGTAAAATATGATGTATGACATCATCGTATTCGAAAACCTTCGTTTTTGTCGATCCATACGACTCATACGAAAATGATAAGCCGGCGTTTTCAAGAATCTCCTCTAAGGAGAGCATTTTTGGAAAGGTGCGTTTTCAGTGACCGTTTTCACCAGATACGTGTGGAGGGTAGGCTAAACCTGAAAAAAATCTCCCTTTAAAAAAAAACCGATACGTGTAGACGGGTCCTGAGAGGATTCATGACTATCTCTATTACAATGATTCATGCAGGTTTTTAACATATACGCGACAAATGGCACGGTGATCTCATATCGACCCGGAGCACCTTCCCAAGTACAGGAGGTTTTCAACGGCAGTGTGATTTCACATCCGCAGGGGGCAGGAGGTGCCGCTGGAGCAATAACTGGCACTGGTTTTGGTCAAGCAACATCACAAGCCTTCGGTACTGCCACAGCAGAAGGCCAAGCAAGTGTTTCTGCAACTACCTCTCTTACGCTGAATGCAGGGTACAAATTCCTTTCTTTTAATCTTCAACATGGTCATTGTTATTTAGTTGGTGGCTGCGGTTAGAGAAAACGATCAAATCACTACCATACCTAAGCATTTTTTACTTGAACAAACAATTACATCAAATAACAAAAACTTCATTGCAAATTAATGTAAAATACAAACCAATATGAGAAGCCAGGAGCCCATAACCCAGAGCAAGCAACTCCCATACTAAGCCCATGTCACGGCGTTTTTACAGACCGCTTTATTTTTAGACACATTTTAGGGCAATTTTTCCGGTGAAGATGGAATCTCCGCCACGTCTATAAACGCATTAGGAAATATAAGACATCAAAAATGAAAACCTAACGTCATTAAAAGGCAAAAATTATCATTTTTAGGTCTGTAGGTTTTGCTGACTGGTTTGTGGGACTTAAAAGATATTCTAAATTGGCGCCAAAACCGTTCTAAAAATAAACTGGTCCGTGAAAATGCTGTGACACGAGTGCATGGAAGTTGCTCGCTCCAGGTTATGGGCTCCTGGAGGAGCCAAATATTTACAGTACTTAAAAACCTTCAAGCTGTAAAGCAATTTCCGTCACATCAGTTCCTCTGCGTTGTCAAAGGAACGATGCCAGCCGCAAAAAGTAGCCACCGGGGTCAATTTAATAAAACGTTTACACTTGTTATTTACAAGTGTGGCCATGGTTCAAGAGTCTGAAAACAATAGCTACTCTCCTAAACGTTTTATTAAATTGACCCGAGGTCAACATCAGCAATACCATTGTAACTGTCATTACTGACTTACTACGGGCGACAAGAGAAGCCCGCAATCCTAATCTCCAGGTTGTTATTACGCATAGGTGGCATGTATGTTTCCAGCATTCGTTTGGAACTTCCACTAAAAATGGATGGAATGCAAACGCAATTTGATCTCGCCCATAATTCGACTTTCTATTCCTCTGTCAAGTGAAACGTAGCCAAAGCACAGCGTTGGAGCAAGACGAGCAAGTGAGCGTTGGACCTGCGATCGTTGTTGCCCGCACTCCCTAACCTTTGGTTATTACTAGTTATAAGATCTGACGCTGGTATTTCAATCGATCAGTCATATTGAAGTTGCCTTTTTGATTGTCACTTAGTGCCACCGCCGGCGTATTACAAGGGGCCTTTGTATACAATGCAGCGAAACCCTACTACATATTCCCGAACACTTCTTCTGGCGTATATATCATAGCGACACATAAAAAGTTTATACAGCGTCACGGATTCGCTCGAGTGCGTAAGTATTCAAAAGCAAATCATCTTATAGTCAAGTCGAAGTATTTTGTGCCAACTACTGCGTATCTTCTTTTTCATCCCCTGAACCCTCCACAAAGTCAAGTTACGAATTCCTGCACCAGTGGCGGATCCAAGGGAGGGGCTCGGGGGGCCCGCTCCTCCCCACCCCTTTATGTTTAGACCAAACTGAGGCTCCCCCCCCCCTTTTCTCAAGGTCTGGGTCCCGCACTGTGTACAGTTTATATTCCTTTACCCGAGTTTGTCCTTTTCAATGAATATATTATTTGAAGGTTAACGGGTATTTTTAGAAGGTATATTTTTTCCTTTTTTACCATAGTTGTACACGGTGGTTTGTACGTGATCTATTCTTTAGACGCTCCTGCCTTTCAGAACCCAGGTGAAAATCTTTGCTGGCGAATCACTGATGGAAAACTGGAGTTAGCACGTCGCTGTCAGGTAACTATTAAGCCGAGTTCAAAAAAGGCCATATCCCAGTTGCAAAAACTTTCACTTTAAATAGCGCGAGGCTACGTGCACAGGACCTGTTTGTCAGTGAAAATGAGTTCTATTTGCGTGAGAATAGAAAATCATTTCGCACTTGGCCTCGCTTTGAAACAAGTCTGAGGCATCTCAGAAGTGGCCTATTGCTTTACTACGAACGTAACGGGCAAATTTTGTTTCACAAAAAGAACTGAATTGAATAGCAACTACCTGATGATACATTGGAACAACCTTTGTCAATTCTGTTAATTTTATCAATTCACATGGTACCTTTGTTTTACTTTATTAACAAAGCCATTTAATTGGAATATTCCATTATAAAAATACTTATTCCTTTCTTTCAATTGTTTCTAGGTTTTTGTAGCCCATATTCCCGGATTCGTGAAGCTTACCGAAGAATATCAAACCATATCGTTCGAGTCAATGTGTTCCCCTGGTAACTATATTCGACAAAAGAACTACAGATTTGTCTTGGGTAGAACGGGAAACGAATTTTTCCGTAAGTTTGAAATAAAAACATCTCCAAGGGCTTTTAAGTTCCTGTTTTGGAATTTAAACAGGTAAACCTGTAGCTTTGAAAGAAAATTCAGGAAAGAAACATTTTATCATCATTTTTTGTTTTTCCCTTTTTTTAAATTGTTCTCACTTTTGCTTCTTCTCCTCCCCTCCTTCTCCTTCCCCTCCTCCTCCCCCTCTCCCTCTTCCTTTCCCTTCCTCCTACTCCATCTCCAGCTCCTCCTTCCTTCTCCTCCTCCTCCCCCATGCCACCTCCATCTCCAGCTCCTCCTTCCTTCTCCTCCTCCTCCCCCATGCCACCTCCACCTCCAGCTCCTCCTCCTCCACCTTCAGCTCTTCCTTATGTTTATTGTACTTATGTTTATTGTTTACCTCCTTTCCTCCTTCTTTCCTCATCATTTGACTATATATATTGACCCTTCCAATTTTTATTCCTTTCTGGAAATTCTGCCGAAAAACGCCCGAGTCTCTTTGCAACCCCAGTAATTTGATAAGACTGGGACAGCTTTCTCTATTTTCTTGTGCAGCATCAGCGCTTACGTGAGGACCGTGATAGAAGCTAATCGCAGAAAATTATTTGAATGCAGCTTTACATACATTATTGTCATCAACAGTCCTATTCAGGACTACCCTCACCCGGATAATCATTTCCATCTACTTATTACATGACTCCTGGGTTCAAACCATTTACTACTCTACATAAATTAATACACTGTACCTTATTGATTTTTAGAGAAGGATGCCAGTGCAGTTTTTGATCACGTATTTTCGTTGCCTGAAGCATTTCAATTTAGCCTCTTGAGAAAAGGCTGGTACATTTGCAGAAGCAGGGACAAAGATTACCACCGAATTCAAATTGTGGCAGACTTCCACATGTCTCCCCTCATTTGGCTGAGACGTTGCTCATTTGTCCTAAGACCCATCACTGAAAAGGAGAACCCTCTAATGAACTGTTTCAATTTGCTGACTACAAAGCCCCCGGTGACCCTTACAAAGCCTGCTAAACCAACCACCCGGGCAACAACTAGCACAACTCCCCATCATCCTGAAGGTACAATTGAATATTTTCATATCATTCATATGTTTCATATCACTCGTAGTTTTTATGTCAATCAAGAGCCCATAACTAGCAGCGAACAACTCCCATACTAGGCGTAGGTCTGTCACGGCGTTTTCACGGACCCCCCTTAATTTTTAGATGCATTTCAGAGCACCATTTTTCGGGAAAATGGAAGCTCCAGTGCTTCTATAAGAAGACGTACAGAGGAAAGGAAAACTCAGCGTCATTAAAAAGTGAAAAATACCATTAGAGGTCTACGGATTCTACTTACTCGCTAATTCTAAGTTGGCGCGGAAATCGTGGAATGGCCTACTTGCCCAATAAGATCAGGGCAAATAACAACTTAGCCGCCTTCAAGGAGGGGCTTAAAAAAGTGATAAACCAAATGCAATTTAGTGGGAGATTTAGACCTTCAGATAAGGGGGTGCCCGGTCATCCAGACCCTGACAAAAGCGAAAGGCCCGGTCTCCAAAAAAAAAATTTTTTGGCCCTTCGGGCCTCAGTTTGGTCTAAAATTAAAGGAGGGAGGCCCGAGCCAGGCACTTCCCCTGGATCCGCCACTGCAATTATTGTAAACTGAAACATTGTAAATAGTCAGAACTGTAGTTAGAAACCTGTAAATAGTAAAATGTAAATGATTTCATGCAAAGTCGGCCGAGTAAATATTTTTAGTCTCTTTTCGTTACTACTATTCAGTTTGAGTTATATTATACACGGCCACGACACATCAGCTACGCTGTTTAAATGAAAGATAATCTTGTCGTTCTAAAAATAAACTTGTCGGCAAAAACGCTCTGAAATTTTTTTTTTTTTTGAATGATAAGATTACTTCGTCCTGTAATTAAACTGTAATACAGTTAAAGGCATATCCATTAACGTTTTCCCAGCTTAAAATTTATAAAGGAATTCTATATCCGTTGTCAGACACGCACAAGAAGCCAAAGTTGACAGATTATAAAAACATTTTCAGGCCTCAACAATTATCCATTAGTTTTGGTCCTGCAAAGTCCATAAGTTTATAGTGGGGTACAAGTGTGTTTCTCTGATTTCAAGTTCGATCCTTTGATACCTAGGCCCTTGTGTGCATATACGTTTTCACAACACTGCTGGTGTGCCCTTCGTGTTACATTCCAGTCTTAAGCCGGAGGGATATTTGGTCACAGGACAGATGTTAGAGCTTCGTTACGTAATAAAAAACAATCAAGTGCAAACGCAGGTCGCTAATGACCATTCTGAGCGACAAATGCAGCTTCCGGTAAGACCACGCATCATTCTACCCACTAAGACGATCTCTTAAACTTGGCTAATCGATCCAGATAGAACTTCAGCTATCAGTAGTATCCGGAATGTTCAGGCACGCTCTAAAGCAGGCTCCAAAGAATTTACTATTTTGTCTGGCACACGTGCTAAGAACCAATTCTTGTACAGTGATTGCGGCGTTTATTTTCATTTTCTCTGAGTATACTCGTTGTGTGCGTTAGTGTTGTCAGCTTATATAGGCAAGTTAGAATATAATGTTGTAGTTAATTTTTTATCTCAGGTCAGTTTTGTTTTTTTTTATTTGTGTCATGACGATCAACTTCTTTGGCATACATTACAATACCCAAAAACAAAAGAAAAACAAAAATTACCAGAGGTAAAAAATTAACTGCAACATACATACACAGTGAAAGCGCTATTGGAATAAAATATCTTTATCTTTAAATATCTTTTAACTTTCTTTTAGAATTTGGACGTTTTAGTAACTAGATGCTGATTTTTCCAATGTTCATAAGGTAGATAGTATTTTGAGATACGAAACACTTGAGAAGTTTAGAGAGCACTCAAGTATAGTCAGAATATAATGGCCCATCTCGGTGCCCAAGGAGATTGATGAAGTTGAGGTTGACGGAATTTGTTCCAAAAATAGCACATTTCATTATTTCGATGGAATCACGTAGACCCATCGCTTGCGGTCTCCTATCCCGATGAAGGCTCCAGGTATGAACTGTAAACTCCTCTTATGGTTTCCACTTCGCAGTTACTGATTTTTTCCTATTCACAATTTTTTTTAGTATGCGGATGAATTGCCAGGGGTACAACAGCTTGACTTTCACGAAGCTGTTTCTAAACCATTTGGAAAACAGACAGTCGTTTTCTGGGCTACAGATCCAGCAGGAAAGTACAACATTCTCTTGGATGGAAAAAAGATGTTATATGCTATTCCTGGTCTTCATTGTGATAACTTCATCCAAGTTACCGTAACTTCCCACCCTAAAATAAGTATGTGTAGCCTCTTAGCCTCCCTAAAATCACACGTTACCTTCACTAAAACATTGAATAGTAAAATCGAAAAATATCCTGCTCGAGTTTAGTTCCAAACGGAATCAATGTTCAGTGAAGTCTGATGTGGCAGGCATCCTGCAAATTATGACATATCAACCTTTCAGACGACGACCCTTCTCTCCAAGAGCTGTTCCTTTAATATTTCGTCTGTTTTCATGTTCTAGGTACTTCAACTGCAAAGCCCACGACGCAGAAATTAGCATCAACAGTTAAGCCAACTCCAACATACCCACCTACTCCTCCTCCTCTTCCGCCTTCACCACTTCTTCCTCCACCTCCTCCACCTCCTCCTCTTCCTCCCCCTCCCCCTCCTCCTTCTCCCCCTCGCCCTTACCCTCCCCCTCCTCCTCGTGCTCTGCCCCGAGCTCACCCCTCTCCCCTTCCGCCCCCCCCTCCCCCTCCTCCACCTCCTCCCCCTCCCCCTCCTCCTCCCCCTCCCCCTCCTCCTTCTCCTGCCCCTCCTCATGCCCCTACTCCACCACATTTTCCCCGTCCTCCTCCTACTACAGTTTCTCCTCCCCATCCTCCTCTACTTCCGTTTCCTTTTATCCCTCCTCCTCCTCCTTTTCCTATACCTATTCCTCCCTCTTTTACTACGACACCAAGACCCGCTCAAAGTCTCCCACCCTCGTGCTTGCCACCAGGTACACCTCATGAGCCCGGAGTCCCCACTGCGTGCCAGATGCCTCCCCTACCTCCGATCAAGACACCAATACCGTCTGTTACCTTACCGACCATGTCTCCGTTGCCGAACTTCCCTTTGCTAACAGGTGAATACTCAGTCTACGCAGTGATTTTTTGGGAAAATCTAAATCCGTCTTTCTGTATTTAAAAACGGATTTTGCTTTTTGGCACTTTCAAAAACAGATCATGATCTATAAAACCCACAATCTCGTATAAATGAGGATGCAATTGCTTGGACCATTTCTACGTAATCGATGTCCTCGTCCTCATACTACGTATACGTATACGTAGCGAGCAGCGAGCAGCTTATGCGGTGAGGTACATCGCATTAATATATCAAATAAGTGAAATTAGAAACTGAAAAGATAGGTTTTCGGTTGTCACTTAAATGTGCTAACAGATTTACAGTTACATAGATGTAAAGCAAGCGAGTTCCATTACCTGGTGGACGCAGCAGAAAAAAGCAGTTCCAAAAGGAAAGGAAAAAGGAATGAAAGGAAAGGAGGAATAAAAAAATCAATCATATCCCGTGCCACTTTTCTGCCGTACCTAATCTATCAGAGAGGTTTCCCTTCTTATCAGTGTCTCCGTGTTTAAACAGGCTAATAATATGGAGTTTTAAAACAGCCATAGAGCTCTAGGTCCCTGGGCGTATCCCCTATAATGGACCATGCGGGAAGGCTCTGCCCAAAAAGTTCGGTTTTGTAAAACAACTAATTATAATGGATTCATATTATAGCTGTGAAAAAGTCAAGGAAACGTCGTGGTTGAGTGATTTATTCATAATAAAAAGAGGGTACATTTGACGTCAGTCAAAAAAGGATGCCGTGTTCTAGACTACGTATGTGAAAGGGGTACCCTTTGGCAAAAGAAGGTACACTAAAGGGTAAGGGGTTTTCCTCGTTAGCGGGGCCTCTCTGGGCTCTAAGTACAGTAACTCGCGACTTTCTACTGTTAATCCGTACCGGTACATTACGTTTTACTTGCACGTTATTGCTTATTCTCTATTCTGGTTCTAGGTTTTGCTGGTTGTATGCTGACACATGGAGGAACATCACAAGGCGCCTGTTGTATGTTTCCGTTCATTTATGAGGGAATTCCACAACACCGCTGCACAAGAGCTAAGCGCTCCTACCGCTGGTGCTCGACCACTGCTAACTATGACGCAGATAATGAGTGGGGATTCTGCCCAACTTGTTTTTTGAGTTACGGTGGTAACTCCAATGGTAATTGTTGTCATTTTCCTTTTATATACGGCCAGAAAATTTACATGACTTGTACAACTCAGGATGACACCAGGCCTTGGTGCGCCACTACCTACAACTATGATGGCGATAAACAATGGGGTTACTGCGGAGGTGAGTATGAGTATTCCAAAATATTCTATAACAATTATTTTTTGGTTTTTGATTATCGCTAGCACGAACTATTTGGACAGTCCCTCCACAAATGCTATAAAATGTTTTGTCCCAGGCATAGATTATGATGAGACATGACACAGATTTTTTGAGGTGAAGTGGAAACCTTTGCAGCAAGCAGTTTATGTCTGATTTGGACCCTGTTGGGGAACATTTACCTCAATTGTCAAATATTTTGTCTTATTTTTAGACGAAAAAATTAAATTTGTACGAGCGAGGTACGAAAATTTGCGTTTAAATTCTAGTTTTCCTTAATTATTAAAAAGTGAGTCAACCAAGTAAGTCAAATATGTTAAATACAATCACTTCTCAAGATTGAGAAAAAGCTATATTTTCATTCACAACATAGGTGACGCCCCTGGCTCCATTCCTCAGCCAAAAATTGTCTTTCCACCATGCACTTCTGACTGCGATAGTAAATGTGTTGACCACTGCCCAGACTACTGTTGCGTTAAGGGACTAGAGAGCAAGGAAAATAGACTGACACAGCAAGTCAAAGAGGACCGTCCCGTTACAGACCCTCCTACCAGAGGTTTTAATCCACATCAAGCGCCACTGTACTGTCCAGACACCTGCTCACGTATTTGTTCCATCTCTTGTCCAGATGAATGTTGTGATAAGGACCCCAAAGACTGGACTGAGACGACTTCACGTTATACAAACACTAAGCCGTGCCCGGCTCATAGTTGTAATTCTAGAGGATGCTCTTCCAGTTGTCCGTCACATTGCTGCCAAGCAGATAAAGCCTCTGAGGCAGGGCAACTTGAAATTTTTGAACCATCTTCATCACAGACCGCCAGCCATCGTTCAGGACTGTCTTGTCCTGCTTTGTGTTCTAAATCCTGCTTGGAGGGGTGTCCTGAACATTGTTGTCACAAAACGAACCAGAAACAAACAAAGAAGGTTCAGCATGGGAAAAATTTTTTTTATGGTAATTCAGTGTTGAGGAAAAAAAAGTCTGATTAATAGATTTAATTTTAAAATACTTTATTTTTTCCTGCGTTAAAGGCAGTGTCTGTATCATAACAGTACAATTATGTGCAAATTTATAATTTTCACAAAATCTTCTCTTGTCATGTGTTCCCAAAACACTCGACAGTAAGATGGTTTTACCCCTCTAGTCTATATTGTGATCAAAGCCCTCGTTTCAACCGAAGCTTATTTTTTCCATGTGCTACAATAAATATTATATCAATTTTACTGTCTTTCTAAGAACGGAATGATCTTCCTCGTATTATTTTAATGTTTTTTTTACTCCAAACAGAACACGAAAGTTAATTTTCAGTCCACTTAGGGATAAGAACTTGTCATTTTGTTTAAAAAAGCCTGCCATAACAGACAAGCTACTCTAATATTTTTGTCCTATAAAGAAATTTATGCAGTCTCAGCGGCATGGGCTCCTGGCAGTGTGTCAGTGACAATGAGTTTTTCGCCTCCTGTCAAGTTTTAGGTTGTAAAGATAGTGTTCCTACAACTGGTGGAAATGCCGATGGAGCTTGCTGTACATTCCCCTACATTTACAAGGGTGTGGCCCACTGGACATGCACAAATAAAAATGCTTCAAAGGAATGGTGCTCTGTGACTGAAGTCTTTGAAATCGACGGAAAGTGGGGATACTGCGCTCCATAAGTAAGCGGACTAGCCTATAATATTGCGTTTTTCTTAGTTTTATCACGAATTGATGGTGAACTCGAAACTGGACTATTAACCCTTGAAGCTTCAATTTCCACATCCACGATATTCTCCAGACTGATCTCCATACAGACCTTGTATCATGTGACTTAGGGCATTTCAAAGATAACAGTTTCTCAGAGAGGTATTCCGGTGCAAGTCCATCCAGGATTTTTTTTAACTAGTAAAGTAGTTTTCGTTCAATACAGATTTGATTGATGGGTCGCCACCCAGAAGTTTCAGAAATAGAAGCAGTCTAGTATGATACGCGCAAATCTTTTGCAACTTTAAAAATCTCATCCAATAAGGATGCATTATTCAGCTTCCCCAAAAAGACATCTTGATGATGTATAGATATTGTTAGGAGAACGTCGTTGTTGGTCACCCCTGGGACTGAAAGGGTTGATATAGTAAAATGTTTAAGCAAGTCACAGTTTAGTCCCTGGCATTTGCTTCGTCATGTGACTGAGTACAAGCAATCACAGCAAGCGAACACGGAGTAAGACAAGGTACCACTCCAGTACTTAGCTTGTGAACATGTCAAAACGAGTCAGTGTTAATTTTTGATTTTGATTCGTGGAGAAAGTAACAATAGGTTTAAGCCGATCGCAAAGCGAAATGACGAGAAACAAAACTCACAGTACCGGCAATCTACTTGTTTTCATACCTCATCTTGTCTTGCAAACCTAAGACAACTCTTTTTCTCATTTTATTTACCTAGAGTGAACAGTCCATCAGTGGAAAACAGTGTCGGCTTAATACAGGTCCAAATAGGTGAAGGATAGGGAAGAAAAGCGCGGAACTTTTTGATGCCTGTCACCGCTTAATAGTGTGTTTTCACATGACATCATGGTGGCCATATCTGTGTCCCAAAACAATGAAACGGCGGCCATGTTTGTGTCCCAAACCAGTCCTGTGGGAGTTGAACTTTTTTCTTCTGTAAACGCTTTCTTTTGTTCTAATAAATTTGCATAGATGCTGGCCACGTGAGTGAAACACAGAATACGTTCCCCTTGGTTTCCACTGGGAATTCTCTATACAACCACCATGCGTGCCGTACAAGCACAAAAGAATAAAGCATTTGACGAACTGTTTCTGTTTTTAATCTATCGTCCGATGAATTCGCCTGAAATGCGACGTAAAGTGAATTTTCTATGCAGCCACCATAACCTAGCAGAGTACAGCCACCATAAGTAGAGTACAGACACAGAAGAATAAAACATTTTGTCCAATTGTTAATTTTTCGTCCGATGAATTTGCCTGAAATGCGACGTATAGTATACTGTTCTTGTATGCCAAACTGTCGATCAATCCCTAACAACATGGCATAGGGTAATTCAGAAGGAGGTTGTTTCGTGCTTCACCACTGCTTTGTTTTCCCATTCACGAATTGGCGAAGCAGAACATGTTTTTAAAATTTGCCTGGAAAAGCTTAGGTGGAACCTCGCTTTTCGTGTTAAACCTAAGGAGAGTAGAGGTATATACCCTACATGGTTGAAAAGAAAAAAAACATTATAGCAGTGTTGCCAAAAGTATCAAAGCAATGCCGCTACGATTACATTGTAAACACATTTCTCGCGCCTTTTTCTGTTGGGTTGTTCCACTTGAATTACATGATGACAAGTTGACTGGAGTGACCGAGTAACAAAGCAGGTGGCTAAAGATTTTTTAAACAATTTATGACATAAAACAAAATTGTTTTAGACGCTACTAGTTAATTGAAACCAAAACGATTCCCGTGCAATGAACATGCAGCATGGGAAGGATAATAATCTTGTTCCCTCTAATTTCTTTGATTGATATATGTGGACTGAGTTTAGCTGAGGAGACCAAACACAGAGGTAAGTTACGCTTTGAACCGTCAAGCTTGAGTGTTGTCGATATCAGCAAATTTGAGTATTATAGGAGATTTATTTAAAAAAACTTGAATTGCATCTTAGGCTAAACTAATTCGCATAATTAATCCATTAGTATAAAGCTGTTTTCTGTGAAAATGTACGTTTCAGTAACGATGAATCTCGCCCTTTCCCATTTATAACTCGAAACATCTCACAACACTCACCAAGACATGCGCAGCAGGCAGGACTACAGAAAAAAGACAATCAGAACCATAGACTATGTTTTGCTCAAATAGAATTAACGTCACTTGCTTCTCGCAAAGGTTTTCTTCATATTCAACTAAGGAAGTACACTCCTGTATTCATTTTCTTCACCAAGGACCAGGAAAGTTTTATGCTTGTAATTTTATCTGAAATGACTGGTATTTTGACATATGAGAGAGAGGGATTTCTGAGTTTGGCTCTTTCAGGAACTATTTGAAGACAGCTGTAAAAACCATGTTTTTCGGGAAAGACCTATTTTTATTAAGATTACTAGTTTCTATTTCTTATGATCTATTACGTCAACGGTTTATTAGAGAAAACGATTAAAATGGCATAAAATACCCTAGTGAAATCTTGAATACCAGTTATTGATGTGAAGCGCACATCCGATTCTATTCCTAGCGGCTTCATACAAGGAACTCTAAGTGAATTTGTTGTACTAGCAAGATTCAACACGATCCAGAGCGATTGAGGTTGTACAGTTTGCGCAAAGGTCAAAGTCGATTTGGCTCCCTCGGGTCCAAATTGTCAATTATTCTAAAACTGTAAAAAAGTGCAATTAAAATTACCAGTCAGTATCAAGATCAAGATCTTAGGTATCTTGTATAAGTTCTAAAAACCTCTTTTGATATCTCTAAATTGTTGAAATTGTTGTCTGAACATGAACGATTTAAATCTGAAATAGAAAAATTCCGTCTGACTAATCCATCGTTAATAAGGATCGCCGCGTAAGTCGAACTCATCAAGACAAAAAGAAGGCAATGACAACAAGGGATTGATGCATTAATTCTCAGAGATATTGAATTTGGACAGCACTAATTATCCTTTCAAAGTTACCCAGTCTGCTTCTGTTAATTAGCTATATTTATTATTAGCTCTTTCTTAATTAATTTCCTGCAGAAACAGAGGGGAGCGCTTACGTTGCCTCTAGAGAAGAAATAACCAAGCGACGACTTTCTGGCCAGGGTATATAATGTTTGTTTGTTATATAGTGGGAATCTTTTAAGAGGAGGTCTCCAGAAGGTAGTTTTCCATGTTTTATAACAAGTGAGTTTTAATATCGCAAGCCGGTGCATTGTTACTTACAAGACAGGGCGTAGCTAGGGGGGTCCTGGGGTAACCGTGACACCCCTTTTGTGAGATGATTGTTTTATATCCCTGTTATTCAGCGAAAAAAAGCGAATCGAAAGAATCAGCATGCAATAAATCTTTTCCAGTGGTGGATAGTTACATACACTCCGCATTTGCAGAACCGAACATGAGCAGTTGATCATGGTAGGGCGATTGACATTGATAAGATCGTTGACATCTTTGCCACTCAGCATCCACGTCGCCCTTTTACTAAGACATAATTTGACTAATGAGTAGTGAGACCAAAATAGAGTGATTTATGTTACGTGGAACTCAAGTTATGTATGCGGCTGTTTTGTAGGCTCACTTCTCATCCGAAAAAATGTCACTTTTAGTAAAACATGGCGTGAATGTGGACATGCCAATCTGGTAAGTACCTTAGGTGTGACACCCCACCCCCCCCCCCCTCCCACCCTTTTGAAAAAATCCTAGCTACGCCCATCCTGCTTAGAAGACACGTAACAAAATCTACTGTTTATTTAGCTATGGCCAAGATCTTGAATCTGCACGAACCCATGACGGGTAAAATCTCCTAGAAGTGGCTAAGAATTACTTCCTTCTTCCTTCTTGGAAACATTTAAGAAACAATTTTGATAACAAAACTTAATTTTACAAATTTGACTGTAGCAAAAAAACAACTAAAACAGGTCGTTCACCTCTGCTAAGATTTCTCATTATTGGGCTATTCAATTGAGTCCCGAAAGTGATCTTGCTTTTATATTGTCAGGTGATTTCATAGCACAAAGCTTCGTGTGTGGCTTAAAAAATTAGCCACAACTGACTTCTGATTAAGTCTCAATTAATCTTCTCGACCATTGTCGTGAATTGCTGAAAACATTTTTCTGTCCTTGGATGCAGATGCTTTTCTGGAGATGTGATTGGCTATTTTGATGTGCAGCTTATGTTGTTATTTGTTGGGCTGGATTGGGTTTTAGACCTCGACGGCCTTCTTCATCACAAAAACTAAACTTGTCAATCTTTAGAGATTAAAAGGCAACCAGGAGTTATTATTGAGCGATGGGATGGAATCGATGGCTATCTGATTAAAAAACTACTGGAAAATCCACGTTTTCCTGACATGCCAACATATGTCTCTGCATCACCGACGTTTGAGGAACCACGAGACTGGGGGAACAATTATGGATCGCGAATCAGGGGTTACTTTGTGCCTAAACAAACTGGACCACACGTATTCTTCATAGGTATTACAATTGCAAACAATAAACAGTTAGATTACGCTGTAAAATAGGTATGACGATGATGATTAAAATTTTTACTATAAGAAGAGTATGATTATAATAGCAATAATAGAATTAAATATTTATTATTATTGTTATTATTATTATTATTGTTCTATTACAATTAACGTGGACTGTGGTAAAATCCCATAATATACAGTTTGACCTGATTAAGAGGCCATCCGGCCCTCGGGTTACCGGCAACTGGCCGCTCAATAGAGGTTCGTCAAAAATCAGCATAATCTTAAGCAGAAACATCACTTTATTTTGAAACAAACGCGCCACGGAAGAAACATTACTGTTCCACAATGAATCATCAGTTTCTATCTCGGCCTGTATTTTCCTTCTTCACATTCTTAAATGAAGCCAAACTAAGAGTTTCAAGCGGCTGATGGCTTCTTGATAGAGGTGACAACAATGGCAGAACTCTCGTTAGGACGGCTAACAGGTGGCCGATTCATAGAGGTTTAATTTCCCATTCTTGGCTACAGTTATTTCGGGACTTTGATTACTGGCTGCTTAATAGAGGTTGGCCGCTTAATAAAGCTTCAAATGTAGTTGCTTTTTGGTAACATTACATTTGTGTGCATTTTCTCGTTTTGTGTTATTGATTTTACTTTTTCCTTTACATTTTCTTCAAGAAAGCGATAATGAAGGCCAGCTATTTCTCAGTACCACACTTGACCCAGACAAAAAGATATTAATCTGCAAAGTTCAAAAAGACCACGAGTCACTACCGCTGCAGTTCAAAAAGTAAGACGTCCAGCCTGGCTTTTTAGTATAAAGGGACCTCTCTAGTTTCTTTCTCTTTTTTATTTTCCTCTTTTTTTCCATTTAGCGTTTTACCAGTAGGCGTAAAACTGGCAAACGAAGCTTGACATAAATTTGCATCATAAACATAGTTTGAATAAATGAAGTTGATATAACAAAATCATGTCAAAACAGTCATTTATGATGAAGCTTCTTTTACAGTCGAACCAGGTCAAGCGTACCCTTAAGATCCCATTAATGAATTTATTATGCGAAAGTTGAACCCGTAATGAGCCGTGAATTCACACGCGAGGAAGTTATGAAATTTCTACCAGGTCAGTTTCGCTCATTTGATGTAAAAATGTCTTCGAAGCAATTTTATCCATTCAAAGATTTTCAATCTGACCAAATACAGAGAAGTTCTAGTAAAATACTCACTGCTCATAACGCATGCAGGAATGCCAATTTGAATTTGACACTAGTTACGGGAAGGACTAACGGATTTATTTTTCAACTAATCAGTTCATTAATACAATCTTGGGGGAACTCTTAGCCTGTGCCTTGACTGTAATTAGAGTTAAATGCTCCCTCTTCAAAATAGATAAAAGCATTTGCCCCATTTTGAATCGTCTACTTGCTGAGTTACATTCCTTGTACATTATTGCATGCAATATGGAGGTTGCAAACACACGCATTGCATGCACTTAGAAAGTTAATTTGAATAAATCAGGGAGTTGATTTCGAATTTCTGGACTGTTAAGGTACCCCGAACAGAAGTCTTACCCAATCAGCTTGATAAAAGGTTCTTATTACTACATCGAGGCACTTCATAAGGAACAGTATGGCAATGATTCCTTGGCAGCCGCCGTACAAACCCCCGATAACAAAACCTATGCACCCATCCCTTCCCAGTTCCTGTGGACGGCCTCGCCTACTGAAAACTCAGGTATGCACCCCATAGAACTAACCGTGTTTCTGTCGATACCAAAGAACAATTTAGTACTTAAAGCATTAATAACTTTATCTGAGGAAACCGATAATACATAACCAACACTCTACACGCAACTTTCCCAGGAATTTCAAGTAGACAAGCAGGCATGGATTGTAGCTCCATATTTTTCTTGTTTTCGCTTTAATGAAGAAATGTAATACGTTATAATAAATATTGTGCGGAAATAACCCAAGCAATTTATCCTTACACTACAACGATTCCATTTTTGCCAAAATCTTACTTGTGGAAGCAAAGTTTTGTCAGTTAACTCAGTCACAAGTCTTACCTTTCGTTCTTCCTGACTAATTTTACCTTCCATTGTTTTCTTTCCAGTGAACGTTGCGAAGGGTTCATCCTATATTCTCTTAAAAATAGCAGCAAAGGCGGGAGCCAAGGCTGGTGCTTCTCTTGGGATAGCTCAAGCCCAAAAAAGTGGAGCAGAGGCAGGGGCAGAGGCAGGTGCTGAAGCCGGTGCCAAGGCTGGAGCTGAGGCAGCAGCTCAAGCTGCAACTAAGGCTGCAACAGAAGTGGCTACCAAAACACTGAAAGAGGCCTTGCTCAAACTGACAAAACTGAGCAAACCGGTGAGTGTTACTGATATGACGCCGTCCTTCAAACAAGTCATATTTGCTATATTTGCCACTGTTTTCCCACTTGGATGAAAATTATTTAACAATTAAAGCGTCGTTTTTAACTTGCAGTCCCACTGGAACTGAAAACGTTATTTTCTTAAAGGTACGGTGCTTGATTCGTCAGCGGACTGGAATTGTCATCCGGAGACCAGAGTTCAAACGTTGTTCCGACCACTAGCTTACGATTGGCTTTTTACTCACGGTCCTAAAACAGAACTCCTTGTCTTCCCTCGCAAAGAGCTAACTGGTCAGCTTCCAGCCAGTGATGGATAATTTCCGGCCCTCTTTAAAATGATAGGGTCGGTTATTTAAAGGAAGTCTAGCTTAGACCGTGGTTTAGAAAATCTTTGAACCTCCAGATCTCTCCTTAGAGAGACAAATGCTTTTCTAGTCTACGCCATATGCTTTCATAAAACTGTTCGCGATGAATGGTGTTAACATAAAAGCGTTTGGCAAACTGGAAACGGCTTGGGACGCGGTTTTGTTAAACACCGCCTAAACTCCGTTTAAATATCTGGCCCATAAAGTTTACTGATTGTCTATTTTTTTAAATCACTGATTTGCCCGACCCAGACATTGTAGCCTTGCGCTTTAAACCCTGCAGAGAGTCAATGACGGCTGTTTCTTGCTGGTTTGCACTTGACGTCACGGCGGGCATGTTGGTGATCAAGAACAAATTGGCATTTGTCTCTGCTGGGAAATAAACTCCTTTTTCATGTAAATTTTCGAAAAAAATATCGTATTGACCACCTACATGGCCGCCTCGTCACGTGCTAACAAACCAAGAATATTTCTCATATTTGTGGTTCTCAGGTATTTAATATCTACACGGCAAACGGAAGTGTGATTTCTCGTCCAGTTGCCTCTTCCAAACCTGGAAGTGAAATAGGTGCTACGACGGCAGAAGGTAAAATTAGTGGCCAAATTGCTCAAACTGGACAAAGGGAAGCCCACGCGGGAGTTGAAGTAGAGGCGTCAAGCCATGTTGGCAAAATCAGTGGTTCTTTTTCCTACAACCCAGAAAAACCATTTTACATTTTCCCAGGCAGCTCTTCTAACGTCCGGATTAGAGCAACACATCATCAGTTTCTGGACCAACGGGGATACGCCCGAGTAAGTAAGTTGAAAGAAAAAGCCCAAACCTAAGATTCAGAAGGGTGGTTGGACGGAATGCTTCGGATCCTCTGACATTTTCCACTCAAACAAGAAATTTCAAATTAAGTCATTGATTAGGTGCTCTGAAATATAAGGTTGTTCATAGTTAAAGTTTACTAGAAATAAAAAAAGTCTTTGACGGTGAAGAAAATTGAAAATGATAATCTGACAGTATATTACCTGCGTGCAGACGTTTCCTATTTCCTTTGTTGCACGCGGAAAAGGGACGTCTGCGTAACGCCGTCGCTAATCGTGTTCCAGCGTCCTGCTGGGTTCCCAAGATCTTGGGAACACGCTGTGATAGGCTGACACACAGTGCGCATTGTTGACACATCACATCATATTTGTAAACAGTGTCTGAGAAAACTACAAAAGCGGCGTGAACTTCGCACCAGGCAGGCATTTCGGAGAAAGCCAGCCAGAGAAACTAAAATCTTTATTTAGCCGTAACAAACAGAGGTCAAGAAAATTTAAACCCTTTACAACTGCATCTGAAATCAAATCCTATCGGGAACACCCACAGAAGAATAAACGACAGGAAATGATTACTCAGTATGCATGTAACAAACCTGCTTCATGACCTCTAAATGGAAGACTTAGCGCGGCAAAAATGAGATTTACTCAGTCAAAGGTTAAACTGCTACATGCACTGTGTAGTGCTAGTAATCTTCGCACGAGAGAGAAAAGAAGAAAAATCTCTGTTCAAGCCGACTCTCAAGGTCACGTTTCGCCAGTATCACGAGCTTATGATGTTTTGTTTGGCCTGTCAACTCTTATTTCTAACCGGATATTGTTTCACAATTTATGCGAAATAGAATACCCTGCCAGCGGGACGCTGGAACACGATTAGCGACGGCGTTACGCAGACGTCCCTTTTCCGCGTGCAACAAAGGAAATAGGAGACGTCTGCACGCAGGCAAACAGTATATTTCTAGCGAAGAACCGATGCATCTGATACCCTTCAATAAATTATATTCCTGAATCCGCCTCTGTGAAACCTTTGCAAAAAATTAATTTTTGGTCTTGCAAACAGCCTGAAGAAAATCGCTAAGCAAATTTTAGCTAACCAAATCGAGATAGTCATTTGCTTTTCGTTATTTTCCTTTCAAAGTTCCTGGTTGTAGGTAAGTACAAAATACAGTATGAATGTGGCTTTCATCATGTCAGGGAAATTTAATTGGACAAGAAAAACTGCAGCATTCCATCAAGGCCTTTTTAAACGGCTAAACTTGAAAAAATGTGTAGAAGCTCTTTAACGGTAGAATTCTTAGCTTAGATGCATTCTCTTTTAGTTCTGAAAAATGCAGTACCATCCGAAAGAAAACGTTGCGTGATTATATTCTGTAATGAGAGAGAGAGCGTCGCCTAAAAATGATATTAAATCGTTTTCACTGTAACTGTGGCGTTGTGTAGTCTTACCATGATAATATACCTGTCTTAGATGTACGAACAGTCAATTTTTCTATTATTTTGTTTTATAACTTGAAATCTATCCGATTTTTTTGTCACAGTTGTACATGGAGGTCTGTATGTTTTCCACTCATTGGACGTTCCTGCAACTCAGAATCCACTAGAAAATCTCTGCTGGCGAATCACTAACGGGAAACTGGAAATGACCCAAAACTGCCAGGTTGTTTCTGTAGTTAATGAGATAATAACCCATCTGACCGTGGTTGTTAAAAGGTATACGGTGGGTAGAGTTAGGCTTCGTGGACAGCTATTACTTTCCCAATGTTGAGGACTCATCAGCATGGTTGGAAGTCCTTTTGCATTCAGATTCGATTCGTAGTACACGGCTGGATCGATGATCGCTTGTTTAGGGGTAGGAAGGGAAAGTCAGGGTAATATCAATGATGATGATGATTATTATTATTATTATGATGATGATGATGGCGGTGGTGGTGGTGGTAGGGTTAACTGTAACGTCATTGAAGATTAATTAACAGGTGATTGTGCCTTAGAAAACGATTCTCGACTCAGGAAAATTGGATCTAGGTCTAGTTTGACCTAGTTTCAGCGGGCTTTTGGCTTCGAACCAGAGGCCGGTTTTTGCAGGTCAGAAAGTGATAATTCAGTAAACTTTCTAGACTGAAATGACACTGGTTTGAAACTTCGCGGAGTGAATAAAATTGCTCTAAAATTTGCGATCTTTCAAATTTGGACTCGGTGAAGTGCTTCCAGGGACCACTAACTTACTGCTTGGTGTCAGTTAAAGGCTTTTCATCGGCCTTTGAATGAGTTTTCATTGTTTTAAATTGCCAAGTAGTAGAATGAGTTGATTTTTTCGCTAACCCAGTTTTCAAAAATCCAGGTATACTTATCTTGTTGCAATTGATGGATAGGTTTTCATCGCCCACATTCCCGGATTTATGAAGGGAACTGGAGAATTTCAGACAATATCATTTGAGTCAGCATGTGCGCCTGGTCACTATATTCGACAAAAGAACTATAAGTTTGTTTTGGGAACAAAAGGAGACCCAAAATTTGGTAAGTGAAATTCAAAGGTGCCAAACCACTTCAAACGTTTACGATCATTCTTTGATTGCAATAACGTGAGAAATTTTGAACACCTTTTTGCCACAATTTTTCGAAAAAGGCACGGGCATGATAGAGGAGAAATTGCGCCATCATTTTGCTTCCTGCTCTCGACTAAGTAATAAGCACAAAAAAATTTCAAAAGTAATATTTTGTAAGGGAATCTGGAAAACTTTTGCTCGCTGAATCCGGAATCTTGGGCTTTGAAATCCGGAGTACAGCTCAAGGAATTCGGACTCCAAAATCCATAGCTTAAGTCCAGAATGCAGTACCTGGAATCCAGAATCAACGACGTGAAATCCAGATTCCAAGACTGTCTTGGATTCCTTTACATGGGTCTATACTGTAAACTGTAGTAAATATGCTCAATACTTTGACTCTCAGATTTTGATGCCAGTGCAGCCTTCCACCAGGTATTTTCATTACCAGGAGCATTTCAGTTCAGCCTAATGAGAAAGGGATGGTATATTTGCCATAGCAAGGACAAGGACTATCACAGAGTGGATGTAGTCACAGACTTCAACATGGCGTCCATGCAATGGTTTAGGCGATGCTCATTTGCCTTAAGACCTATTGAAGATGGAGAGAATCAATTGATGAATTGTTTCAACATGGTTACAACGCCAGAGCCTCCGGTGACTCACGCAACTTCATCAAAACCAACCAGCCGTCCCTCAATAATACCAACGACAAGTCACAAGCCTAAAGGTAATCAGCATAATCCTTGATTGGTAGAAATGAAGGCTTTTCGTAATAGCAGAACTCACTCTTCTGGCTTTTATTAATATTACCATAAATTGTCGCTTATAAGCCCTTGGCTTATACATCTTCGTCTTAAGTTTTAGGAGGGCTTATAAACGGAGGGCCTTTTATCCGCGGAGGGGGTTTATAACCGCAAAAGGCATCAATTTTTCAAATGATGCCTACACCCTGTCAAGTGCCAACACACTTCACACAGTTTAATTAATCGCCCCTGCCCATTTAAGGTAATCCAAGACAGACTTGGATTCAGACTGGATTCCCCGCTCTGGATTCCAGTGGCACTTGCATTCTAGATTATAACTGTTAGCGGAATACCTAAATCTGGATTACCTTAAGTGGGCGAAAGTTTTAACTGTGACTGGATGTAAGAAAAAGATGAAATAATCTTAACTAGAAAAAAATAAGCTTAAGGATGTTGTAAGTAGTCAAACAAACAGAATCGGAATGGAGCCTATGAATTCCGGATGACCTGTTGGACACACGTCACGAGTTTGCTCCTGTTCGAGCTACTACAAATGATTTTTCGAAAAATTCTCGTTGTAAACTTTCATTGCGTGCAGACTAGTTTTGCTGCATACATAAAAGTGACGCGTACGCTGCTCATGGTTTTTTCGCTTTTTAGCGCGTTTTTGGAGTACGTATTCAAGCCGTTCTCCAGACTGCTAACCACTTATTTTAAGGATAAACACAAAATTTCCATTGAATTTGCTTAATTTCAGGTCCTTGCGTATACGTCCACTTTATCAACACGGTTGATATACCCATCATCCTATATTCCAGTCTCAAACCAGAAGGTTATTTGGTCACAGGACACGACTTAGATCTTCATTACGTTATAAAAAAAGGTCGAGCGGTAGGTTTTAAAGAGATGCGGAAGAAATCAAGGGTTTCAGGTGATCAAGGAGAGAATGCTTCCAAGGTAAGATCTGGTAAAAAAAGATCAGTTTACTCAAAAGTAGATACGCCATTGTTATTTCAAAAATTTCACTAGGTGAACAATATATGGCCGTAAAAATACAAGGACCTAATGTGCCAGGGTTGGGTTTACAAAGATGAATTGACCTCCATTCTCAGGGTTTCCTCTCCGTCCTTACCCCTCAAGAGTGCAACAATGCAACCGACATTTTATGAGCCAAATTTTTTTTTTTTTCGCAAAAAAAGTATCAGTCCACTGAAAACGAAATGGAACGCTTAAGAGTGACAAATGATGCACGACTGGCTGCGTTCTTTGTTTTCTCGAGCCTATTAAAGTAACGGAGATTCCATGTAGCTTATTTTTAAAGTAACATATTATGGAGACAGCCCTTTTTGGCCGCTACCGAAATAGTTATCAATACTCTTTGCGATAATTTGCAGGACATGGATGTACCAGGAAAAAATCAACATCTTTACCTTGACGAGACTTCAGCCAAGCTATTGGGAGGTCAAATAATTACGTTTTGGGCTAAAGATCCAACCGGAAAACGTGAAGTCTTCATTGATGGAAAAAAGATAATATATGTCATTCCCGGTCTTGACTGTGATCCTTCTATTGAAGTCACACTGACTTCGAGGACCAAGAAAAGTATGGGTACTCGTTTAACATTCCTTAGTACTTATTTAACAACACTGTTATGTAATTTAGCAAGCAGACTTAAGGCTGCGTTGAATAATCTCCTCTATATACTTTTAAGACACGATTTTAGTTTAGCGTTTTTTTTGTTTGTTTGTTTGCTTCTGTTGTTCTTTTTCTATTGGTCTAACTGTATTGCTCATACTATGGGTTATTTAAACTTGCGCTATAAAGAATTAATTTCGATGTCCCTTTTTCTCAGGCACGTCAACAACGCAGCCAACGACCTCTACACAATCACCACCTTCAACAACTCATGTTACAGCATCGCCAGTTCCTCCAACCTTCCCTCCCTCCCCTCCTCTTCCTCCTCCTCCTTCTCCGCCCTCACAACCACCTCCTCCTCCTCCACCACCTCCACCACCTACTACTACTCGACCACCACCACCACAACCTCCTCCACCACTTGAACCCCTTCCCCCTTCTCCACCTCCACCCTTTCCTCCATCGCCTGCACCTCCTCTTCCCCCTCCCCCACCCCCTGCTTTACCTTCAACACCTACACCTTTGCCTCCTCCTATTCCTCCTCCTTCTTATCCTTCCTCTCCTACGCCATGTTCTCCACGATTACCACCAAAATCGCCTTACACTACAACAGTGCGACCCTGTTCACCCACGAAACCAGTCATGCCACCGCCACAACCGTCTATCCCAACCTTACCTCCCAAATCTCAGCCTCCCGTGCCACCACCTCCCTCGGCACCATCCGTGACAACACCAACCACTCTACCAGTAACACTTCCAACTTGCGGTCCTAATACAACTAGGGCCCCTTTCTTGACAACAACTATTCGACCGTGCAAACCAACCACTAAGCCTCAATATACCACACTTCCACCCTGTCCTCCCAATCCTAACAACTTTCCCCCGGGACCTAAACCTTGCAAACCTTCCCTTAGCTCTCCCTCTCCCGTTCTAACGCCAACTCCCCCTCCACTTTCTCCTCCATCATGTTCATCACCAGGAAAACCTTCGACACCTGGGTTAGTCCCTTCTTGTCCTCCACCACCGCCGGTTTCTACCAAACCACCAAAAGTAGTCACAGTTACCTTACCAACACTACCTCCAGTACAAACCCCGCCTTTGATTTCAGCTCCGGGTAAGGTTCGATTTATCTTAAGAAAATTCTTATACATCCGCATAAAATTCAAAATTCTACGTATATATATTGACGAGTTGAAAATCTTTGTGCATGTGGGACTTTTTCTGGATTTTTTCTAGGCCCTTGGCGATAGGGACTTGGTTGTGACCAAATATAATTTTTAACGCTTTCTTCTTGCCTGAATTGACCAGTAATAAGGGTTGAAATTAAGACAATTGCAGGAAATACTTTTTCAATACTTTTTATATTCTCTTTCTCCTAACGAAATAAAATTGATTGATAATATAATTTCACAGCATACGAAGAACTCTCTTTAAAACACCCATATTACCCACTGGTTAATTTCTTAGAGAAGTTGGTTGCTCTGAGAGTTTCATTTCGCGTTCAATTAAAGAATATCGTCCGGTATCGTTTACAGACTCGTATTTGATGCTAGTTCTAGAACTTTTCTGCAGGTAAGCTCAAGATCAAAACTTCTTATGTCCTTTAGGGCTAGCAAGCAACCATCAGAAAGAGCCTCTCCAGTCGAAACTTGTGATGTATGTGTTCGTGGCTAGTATGTTCACGTAATCAGTCTGAGAAAATCCAATCGATCTTGAGAGCGAAATGAGCGGCACATTAATTGTGTACCGTTCTGTTTTTTTTCTTACGTAGGCTGTATGCCCACCCATGGAGGGACTTCGCACGGTGCTTGCTGCATGTTTCCGTTTATCTATAACGGAACTCTACAACACCGATGCACAAGAGCCGAACGCGGCTATCGCTGGTGTTCTACCACTGTTAATTATGACTCAGATAAACAGTGGGGATTCTGTACTTCCTGTTTTTTGTGCTATGGCGGCAACTCAAATGGGAACTGTTGTCATTTTCCGTTCAAATATGGCGGGAAAATGTATACGACCTGCACCACTCAGGATGATACCAAGCCATGGTGTGCCACCACTTACGACCACGATGTTGATAAACAATGGGGTTACTGTGGAGGTGGGAAAAAGTCTCTTAATTAACACAACAAACTGCTATATAGCTCCTATATAGCTCCTATAAATATATCACGTTAACGTCACTTCGAAGCCCTTTTACGATGTTTCTCAGAGAACGGCGTCATATGATTGTTACATGTAATTTAATTTTCTTCGTGTCATCGCGAACAGCAGCCTCTTAGGTTACTCTCACAAGGAAAAGGCTATCCGCTATAGTATGGACACCCGTGCGATATATGACTCTCCACTTTAGACATCAGCGCAGCGCAGTCTCGCTGCGTCCGAAATAGCACCAAAATCATCGTTACTTGTGTGAACAGAAGCCCTTATCCGGTAAGGTTCTTGTGCTAGCGCAAAAGCTACCTGGTATAGAGTGAACGTAGCTTCGTTGACTAATTAACAATTATTCCTCGAGCCCGCATGGGCTCTGAGTCAATAGCCCATGAGGCCGAAGGCCGAATGCGCTATGACTCAGAGGCCATGAGGGCGAGAGGAATAATTGTTTTAGTAAAATCCAGCTAGTTGTTCAGAAATGTCGAGACAAAACAACTTTTAATTAGCTAGTAGACTTTGATCCTTTTTTGCCGCCAAAAAGCCGGCGTTTTTCGCTACTAGTGGGCTATAACATCTAGCCTAGTAGTAGCTCAATTAATCAGAACGCAGCATTGATAATAGACCCCTAGTTGGATTTTACTAATTCACGTTAGTCTTGTACAAGATAGTTTTAAAAAAACTAAAATTAAAGATTTAATTATTTTCTCTATTTTTTCTTTGCATTTCTCTTCGTTTACAAGAACGATTTATACAAATAATTCTCATTTCCATTTAGGCGATGCCCCTGGCTCCGTTCCTCAGCCAAAGATTACTTTCCCACCATGCACCCCAGACTGTGATAACAAATGTGTCGACATGTGTCCAGACTACTGTTGTGTAAAAGGAATGATAAGAAAAGAAACTGGACAAACAGCTGAGATTGTTCATTCCTCCCAGGTAATAATAGGCATAAAAGTTGTCGTTAAAAGAATTAGCCAAAAGAGAGGTCAAGGAAAGGTATTTTGTATATCTTGATGCTACTAAAGCTTGTTTACTCTTATAGACACGATTTTCTCCGCCCCCACCCCCTCTCCCCTTCAAAAAAAGTGGAAAAACCACAGCCCATATACTTCCGGTTGATTTGTGTCGCTCAAAAACGTCTTTGTTCTAGCCCACTTAAAGCAAAATAGTGTTAGTGACCTCTTCCATCGCACACGGGACGGAACGTACTCAACCTACTGTTAGCCATCACGACTCTAAAACTATCCAATGAGGGTGAATTTTCCTTGTACTAATTGCCAAGTTAGCTCTGAAACGTTGACATCAGTCAACTAAATCAAACACAGCAAGTATATGAGGCCTCAGCACGCCCCTATAATTTAACGTTTATCTTATCGTGTTTAAATCACGAAGGCTATTTTGGAGGAGACTTCTACCTTTTTAAGGACACTAAATGAGTTATATTCGAGCATTAAAGAAGGCAAAAGTTTTTGCCGAAACGTTTTTGCTCATTTCAAAATCCTTGAGTTTATGATATTCTTGTGCGACTCGAGATTCCTGCTGTCCAGACGTCTTTAATTTTTTTTCCAGACTTACCAACTACCGCAAACTCAGAATATATATTCCTCCTGTCCAATCATCTGCGTCACAACCTGTGTCCCGGTTTGCCCAATGCGTTGTTGTAAACATCCTCTTCCCTATGAAAACCCATCTGTTTCACCAGTTTACTGTACCCAGACCTGTTCCAGCTTCTGCTCCAGCTCCTGCCCAGCAGAATGTTGCAAAAATGCGCCTCAAGCTTGGACTCGAACATTTCCATCGTTCAGCCTCACCAAACTTTGCCCAGCTGATTGTGACTCTACGAACTGCTTTGCTAGATGTCCACCTCAGTGTTGCCAGAATAAAATAGATAAATCAAAAAAGTATCTTTCACTTGAAGATTTAAGCCGAAGTCCATCGGCAATGATTGCTGTTAGATCGAAATTAGTTTGTCCCGCTACGTGTTACGACGTTTGCTCCAAAGAATGCGCCGAACACTGTTGCAGAATTGGTAGTGAAAGAGACGTTCCCAAGAATAAACGTCCCCAAGTTCCTGATCATGGTAATACAATGTTGGCGCATTAAGGCATAATCATCTTAAGAAATATAATCAACTCTCTCTTAACGGACACCTCTGAAAGACCCACACCTCGCTGAAATGGACGCTTAGAGTTGCTCTGCATTTCTTTGATTCCTTCTTTTAGTTGTCGTTCTATAAGAAAAACATCTCTCTGAGACCGACACATAATGCAAATCTCAAAGAATCCGTCTCACAGACTTTTGACTGTATTTGCTTTAGGTTAGCTGAATTTCGTGTATTAAAACGCAATGTTCTCAGTATTCCATTTTCAAGAACTTGCTTCGAAACTAGCGCATAGCGTAACAGGTGATAGTACAGTTCGCTTTAACCGTGCTTGCATTCTCGTTTTTAAATGGCCGAACCACAACCTTTAAATACTGCAGCTGTGGTTAATCCAACAAAAACGTTTGTATCAGTGAAAGTCCACTTAAAGTGACCTTTTCATGCTGAACGTTAGCTTACTTGTACATAAGAACTGCTTTAGGTCTATTCAAGTACGGTAGGGTGGAAGGTAGTGACCACAACTTTCAAGACGTCGGTCCAATTACAAGACAGCTAAATCATATTATTTATTTACTGCAAATGCTCAGTTTGAATTGTGTTTAAAAATTCTTTAATTTGCCTTTCAGAATGTAAAAATGGTGTTTCTACAACTGGAGGTAATGCCAGGGGAGCTTGCTGTAAATTCCCCTTCATCTATAAAGGCGTGGCTCACTGGACATGTACAAATGAAAATGCTGCCAAGGAATGGTGTTCTGTGACAAAAGTGTTTGACATCGACAGAAAGTGGGGTTACTGTGGATGGTAAGTAAGCAAAGTGTGGAGGTTAAAAATGATAATGAACAAAGAGAACGGGTGAGAGTGTGTTTGTAACTCATCCGAGTATACTTACTCAGTACTTCATGTTTTACATGCTTTTTCTCGCCTTAATCGTGTTCCGGTGCTTTCGTATTCTTTCGAACAGTTTCAAATGACCACAGAGAGGTGAAAAAATTGTTCTTTTTTTTCCTCATTTGGTTTGTTGTAATTAATTATTTCATCAAACTGTTCATAAGAAAAAAAAACACAAACACATGGAATTGAAAAAGTTGTAATCATATATACAACATGATGACGATGGAAGAGATTAATTGCGACCTCTCTATCCGGGTCAGTGCCTCGTCAAGCGCAGCCTGAAGTTGATTTCATATCTAACCCTCTGTTACTTCAAAAGTCACTATATATGGGATCGGAATCACAGGGGAACTTTGCGGGTGGATCAAGAATTCAGCTCAAGATATTAATGTCAGTGACTGTCGTTCCAGCTTACTCAGAGGCACATTCGTGTTCCTCAAGAATCCGTGCTTGGTCCACCCTTTTACCATATTATTACAATTATCTGACGAGCATTGTTGGTGACTGTGATGGTTAACCTCATATGTATGCTGACAACACGAACCATTCGTCATAATCGTACCATGATGGTTACTTTTCTCAGTTTTAATTTGAAAAAACTTACTGACTGGTAAATACAATTTTCTAACCCCACATCCAGGCAAAAAGGTCCTGGGTTTATGGTTCTAAAAGGCACGCTTCTCAGTGCTTTAGATAGTGTAAAATAGATTGTATCCCGTCATAGAAATTAACCAAACACAGGTACTATTAATTTCTAAAGCAAGTCTCAACATCATTCTTTTTCATTGTTTTTTTTTTTGGTTTTCAGAGACAGACAAATCAAGTCAATCATTAAGATACACAATGCTATTATTATTGTCGAAGGGAAGGCGCTAATACTGTTTTCCGCTATCGGCCTGTGTTTCCGCTGTACATATTACCTTCTAAAACAGGCCGAAATGGTAAAGATCTCTAGTCAAGTAAATTCTGCAGTAACCCAGCAACACTATGCGCTTGAAAAACCGTTGTGAAAGGGAGAACTAAGTGGATATGAAAACGTATCATTTAATGATACATCAGGGCATTTTAGGGCAACACCTTTGTATTTACCAACGACACAAACACACTAAAGAAAAAAATACAATCCTTGTCTAGTTTTCATTTCCTTGTATACCAGGACCCTTAAAACAAACCTAAATTTTGCAGAAATAAGAATTTCTAGTCGTGATGTATTAGACGACATTTCTTGTAAAGAGACAAACCAAAATCACTTGTAATAAAGTTTTGCCTTTTGTGTGCTATTACACAGAGTAACACCGTGATTCATTCACTCAAACTGTTCTCATTAAATGTTGTTATTTTGAATGATTATCTGTCTGAAATATGTACTTCAGGTCTTTTCTGCAAGGTTTAACCTTGAATGTTCAGGGTCTGTTATACCGGCCTAACATTCACCCATTCAGGTCCCAGTTGTTTGTACTGCTCGATAACGCTATCCACCGGATAACTAACTATCCAGTGGATAACGCAATTGGTTTACTCCCCAACACTTATCCACTAGATAGTGATTTATCCTGTGAATAGCGCTATCCTGCTTTTGAACAGCTGGGCCCGGATAAGAGTACATAGAGAGCTTTCTCTCCCCTCTTAAGCATTTTTCCACTCTTCTTCAATCTCCTTTCTTTTCTCTTTGAACTGACAAAAGTAAACCTCTTTTATCATGCCTCAGGAAGATCTTTCTTAAAGTTCCCACGAGAGCTTTCTTTGTTTTTGAATTATTGTCTTATTATCATTTTTCCGCATAAGTTAAATATATACAAAAAATTGAAAAAGAGATGAGGCAAGGGAGCCCAAGGGAGACAGTAAGGCTTATGAATAGGACCACCTTAAAAAATATTTAACCTAATCAAAGCTGATTAATAAATAAAATACTGGCATTTGAAAGACAATTTAACTAAGTACATACAATTTCTTCCCGTAAATCGATATATAAGATTTTGTAGATGGGAATTTACATTTATCAAACGTGAGCTGTTCAGGAATCGCTCAATGTTTTATTTAGCCTCTGAAAGGGAATTACCGGTAATAGGTATACACCACTAGGGGGCCCTAAGGCCGACTTTGTTGTTCGCCACTTAAGAATCGAGAAGCGAACTGGAGCCAAAGTTCGTCGCGCAATTGTTTCTGGGACCATTAGTGGGACGCGCCGGTCAGCTATTGGTCAATTCTTCAACCCAGAATACTTGGCGATAGTTAACTCGGCCCAGTCTTCCTCTCGTTTCCAAAGGCTGGTTTTCATTGAGAAGGATCAATGGACAATATTCATCATTTTGAAGGGTATCAATCAAGTTCATAAAACATTTCAGAAAAACCGAAATCGGTTGATCTCAATGAAATACAGCCCCCACCCCCCTGCCCAAGGTGGAGAAGGGGGGTACTCAAAGTAAAATTCAAGAATTTAAGTGCTTAGGTGACCAGCTAAATGAGGAACAAATTTAAAAGTAAAATTGAGCTACCCCTTTGAGCTAGGAAAGCCATTTGCTGAAGGTTTGTGAGCTATCAAATTCCCATTTCTTTTCCCTTGGATGGGGTGTTATTTTTCGGGTTTGGGCCTCAAATACGGTATCAATGTTCGTTTGTCTGATCCTTAAATACGGTCAGGGTTTAACACCCAGAGCGGCGCACACCGACTCCGAAAATTAAACGAGTAACCCCCCACCGGGAAACAGGGAAAGGAATCGCCTTCATAATGCTTGGTACTGAGTTACACACTTGATTGGACAGAGTCGCCATAGTCACAGCAACATCACTCGCTTACTTTCCTTCGCAGGGTGAATCTGAGTAAATTTTGTCACTTTTCAAGAACACATGGTACCAGTTCATTTGGTTAGAGATAATGTTGACGACCTTGGTCAAGACAGTACCAATCGCATTTTAGCTGTGCGATAATTAATTAAGTTTAAAAACCGACAAAAAAAACTTCAGTAAATTATGCACTTCTTGATCCCTCGATTGATTCTTATCGCTAACTAAAGGTACTATATTGTTTATTGATTTGTTGGTAAAATGATATAAAAGCCTTTTTAATTTGGCAATTATTTTCCTTCTTGCCTTTATCGTTTTATTTTCCAGTATTTAATATCTTGTTATACTCTAGGTTTGCCTTATTCAGCAGTCAATAGAAGAAATTTAAAATCTGGGTAAGGATGATTTTAGCCATCACAAACATAGAAGAAAGACGATCGGTCCACTGCTGTTTTGTCTGGGAAATAACTTCCATTGTGCTGAATAATTTAAGAACATAAAGAGAACACAGCAGGTATATAACAATGGAGGACGTACGATTCTGTCAAAATGACCAATTTGGAGAGTTTTGATTAAAAAAATTCTTCCAAAAAAATTGCTCAAAAAGAAAAACAAAACGCGTTTTTTCCGAAGATAAAGGATGGAAGTGACTTAGTTTACTTCAAATTGTTTGACTCTTCGGGAGAATCAGGTATAGCGTAGTCTGTGAAAATCCATGCTCGTAAAAAAGAAGTGAATTTAACTCACTGGTCATTACGTCATTTGAACTTGAAGAAGAAAGTTGCCCTCGGCAGGTGACAACTTCGCTTATTTACCGACAGGAAAACAATTGTTTTCAGCTTCAACGTAAATATTTTTTCTCTCTCTGTAAATTTCGATGTTGGTGTTCTGTACATCGACGCTTTTCGCGAGTAGCTAGGCAAGGCGGATATGTTGAATCTTCTAGCTTTCTTTGTTCTTTTATTGACCTGGACGGCCGTGAGCAGTGATGGACGAAGGTTCAATATCGGACGAAGAATCAGTGGAGCAGCACAGCGTGTAGCTGGTAGGTGAAATTTCACTTTATTGGATGAACAAATTATTTCTTACACTAGAAATTAAGGGATACAGACTTGTGAACCAAAATAAAACAAATACATTGCAGTTGAGCCATATCAGCTAAGTTAAGTGACATTTAAACAGCGATAAATTGATAAACTGTCGCTTTCTTACCTTTCTTGGTCTGTTTTTGTGAAAGGTACTAATTACTAGAGACGTAAATGAATAGATCTCGTCAATTGCTAGTAAGCTCATCACAAAAATGGGCGCCTGAGGCTTTAAATGTTCAGATATACAACTGGGGTTAATGGGGTTAAGAAGCTTATAACTGGCTTAGTATTGCTTTCGATCTTCCCATCTACATTTTCCAGGGAATCGTCAAGTGCTAATTTAAACAAAAAGCTTCTAAGGTAAAATAGAAGCGTAGTTAGAAGGAAATCCACTTGTAATGCAAAATGACTATCTGAGTTGGAGGTTAGAATTTGAAACATTTGAAAAAGGTCGCAACTTTAATTGAACAACAAGACTGCCAAGAAAGAAAACTATATTTTGTTTCCCCACAATGCCTATCTTTTTTTACCAGAATAAGACAGAGAGCTTTAGAAAATGGAACATGGTGCATGGCTTTTTAAAACAAAAAGCTCAAGTGCGCAAGATTTATTATTGTGTAAACTAATCTAACTCAGAATCAAGAACACAAAGCATACGACTTCCATGCAGAGAGATTATCAGAACAAGCATGTATTAAATATATGGCGGGCTTGGATTTAGCGCAGGAGGCCGAGGGGGTTGATCCCCCCTTACCACCACCTAACCTTCCTTTTTTAAAAACTGGAAAGTATAGAATGATTGATCTTACTATAATCATCATATATAACTCCAATCATGTGAATCAAGAAGTGTAATCATTTAATTCACCCATCTCTACACTATTATTTAAACCGGCGCATTATGAAAAAAATAGAAGCCCATGCGCTAAACGGAGCCCACACACACTAAGAAGACCGCTTCACCTGTAGCATCAAGAGACTAAACGTTTAAATTCTTCAGTTCGCGATTATATATAATTAGGTGAAGAAAGAGTAGATTTTTATTGATTTTTTTGTTACTTAACTATTATTATCTGGAAAGACTACTAGGCCTCTACATTGACACACAAGAATTGTTTTATAGACTAACTGTCTGGTAAGAGAATTTTTTCACCGTTTTGAGTAGTGAACTTGAGCTAGATTGACGCTTCGAGTGACAGTACTTTGCCCAAGCGAATTCTTACATTTACTTTATAAACTCGGCCAACTCCGACAGAACACTACCGTTTCCTTTAAAGCTTGCAACTCTGTAATAATAATAATGATGATGATAACATAATAATAATAATGATAATGATAATTAATAATGATAATAATAATAATAATAATAATAATAATTTTAATTCAATTTATATTTGATGTCATAGCAAAAGATAAGAAGGCTTCAATACCCGGATTGCCATCAGGAATACCGGGTGTTTCTATTCCAGCGCCGGCGGGAAATGCAAGCACCATCCGTGAGTAAACATTCAGTTTAGAATTAAAACTATTTCAGGATCTTTCAGGTCCACCCCTGAAAATAACTGATAAATTTTTTAAGACCTTTTTTCCATAAATGAATCAATTTTCAAAACTCGTACTTGAGGGCTGAAGAATTTCCTTCCCTCCTACTCAATTGTCAGACACTGTTTCCAAAGATAATATTTTTTTGTCATGAGGGATATTGTTCATCATGGTTAATGTGCATAATGGATTTCGTTTGTTTGACAATTCTCACTTAGATGTTGATCTTATTGGCTTCCACAAATAAAGACTAAAGCTAAGGGAAAATGTTTGTAGCGTAAACGACCCTGAAGGTATTCGCGCCTTACAATTGTCTACTATCGTTAATGAAGAGAGGAAGAAGAATTGTTCTTGAGGACAATAGATAATAGCAAAATGTTCATCTGCTGCTTTTCGTTCTTCAGCTGTTATCACTGGAAACAACTCCGTGGTACATGCCGCTACAGTCGGAGCGTACGCAGGTGCCCAGGCAGGTGCCCACAGTGGGGCTAAAGCGGGAGCTAAGACCGGAGCAAAGGCTGGAGCTGAGGCTGGTGCCAAAGCTGGCGAGGAAGCGGGAATAAAAGCTGGTGAAGAAGCTGGAAAACGAATTGCTCATGTCATCGCCTTAGAAACACTTCAGAAAATACTTATGGCGCAGATGCAGAGTGGTCACGTTTTCAACATCTTCGGGCAACACCCCACTGAGAAGCCAGCAGGGGCAGCAGCCGCGGCCGGGGCTGCAGCCGGGGCAGCGACAGGTGCTGGGACTGGAGGCGGAGGTGGTACCGCTGGGACAGCTGGTACTGCTGGAACAGCGGGCACAGCAGGTACCGCAGGTGGTGGCGGAGCAGCGACTGGGACAGCTGCAGCTGGCGCAGAGGCTGGAGGAGAAGCAGGAGGTGGAGGTGGGGCTGCTGCTGGTGCTGGTGCTGGAGGCGAAGCGGGAGCCGAGGCAGGAGCCGCAGCCGGAGCCGGAGCCGTAGCCGGAGCCGGAGGGGCAGCGGGCGTAACTTCTGGTGTGCCTATAGTGGGTGGTGTCATGGGTGGAGGTGGCACAGCTGCTGCTGGAGCTGCGGCTGCTGCAGCTGCAACCGCTGGTGCTGCTGCTGGTGCTGGTGCTGGTGCTGGTGCTGGGGCTATGGGTGGAGCTGGTAGTATAGCTGGAACAGGGGCACAATCTGGAGGAGCGGCTGGACTGATAACTTCAATAACCGCCGCTGCGATTGCTAAAGCTAACGCCGCGGCTGCTGCAGCAGTTAACAGCAATGGAGCGGCAACTGCATGTGAGTTGAAATTTGCTTTGTTTCTTTTACTTAAATACTTAACCCTTTGCCTATAACAAAGAAACCTAAGATTAAACATTTGCAGTTGTGTGTTTAATCTGCTTGTTTCAAAACCTTTCAAACAGAATGCGGTTTGAAGAAAAGTCGACGATTGAGAGCGAGGAGGAAGAATCTCTTAAGAGAAGGAAGAAGTTCCCTTTGATATGTTTAAGAAGAATCCTTACATCTTCTTCAAAGAACTCATAAATAATTCATACTCAGAAGACCTTAGTGAAAGTGTTACGCGATTAGCTCTAGGTTGAACCCAAGAGAAAGACTATAAGTCAGAATATAGACTTTATTATGCAGTAGTAAGTAGGGTCAAATGTAAAATTTAACACCACCTATTACAGGTTTAATGGAAACGTCCACTGTTATAACGAATTGCCCTTGAAATTGCCCTAAAGAAAATCAAAATCACGTACTTGGGCAAGCGAAAAGGGGTTTATTAAGGTGAAAAAAAAGTGGTTTTGAAAGTTGTTTTTTTTCACTTACAAAGTTCAGCGGGCAATCATTTTAATACTTATAACGTTTTACGTTTGTCACAAGTGTCAAGAATCAACATTTTTTGTATGGAGCAATGGCAGCAACCAAAAATCGTCATATAACTGTCCGAAAGGGTAGCGCGCTGGAAAACTATATGCCTGTTGGTTAATCGATACTCTTATCCAATTTCTCAGTAATACATTATATTCCTAACAGAGCGCTGCGCGCTTAAGGTAAGCACGCGAAGCATCAGAGGAAAGAAAATGTGGCTTTCTTTCGGACAAATATTTGCTATCAAGTATGAAAAGTAACCTTCCGACCTCCTCTACGTCCGCCACAACATGTACCTTCCTAGCAATGAAAATGAAACATATGCTGTCTTTTTTATGGAGTTTTTATACGGTGCTTTTGAGTGCTATACCGTAAAAGATCCAACCCGTGACCTGATGCCACAACCCTTCAAGAGACGGTGTATACTAAAAAATTAAGACACAGGTTGGACATTCAAGATATTACACAAGAAAGCATTGCATAACTAATTATCTCATGCCACCGCTCAAAATGACGAATAATAAAAAAATGAAAAAGTCATTTTAAATATTTAGACATACAAAATGAAGATAATTCAGTGAACAAAATTTCTATGAATAGAAAATTAAGCTTTTTGCATTACCTTTGCTTTTTAGTTTTTTTGTTTTGTTTCGTCTCTAAAACACCCCCATGCTTTGAAAATTCATAAATTATGGAGAATTTGTACTGTTGTTGACTCAAAATGGCTTGTCATAGTTTGTTTTTAATGTTCTCTAATAAATTCTGGAAATACTGTCTCCGTTGCAGTCTGTTCAATTTCGTTTTCAGTATTTCGATTACGACTTCTAAGAACTGAAATTGGGATCAAGGGCGTGTCTTAGGTTATGTTTACAAAGTCGTCCCTGTAAGTGTGCCTTGAATGAAAATGTCAACCTGTCGCAATCAACTTGGTAGAAAGTGATATACGCCATCCATATCATGACAGCTGTCAAAATTGGGTAACTGATGACTCTTCTCACACGATGGAATCGCGGAATATGTCCACTGCCCATCGAAGTCTTGTATCTTTGAGGTTGTCCACTTTTCCGCTACAGATTTATAGCTGGATCGAAGGCCCTTTTTGACAGCGATATTCCGTTTATTTATTTGCTTAGTTTCAAAGATTCCAAGTTAACGGAAACGTTTAAACGGGTGTGCTGCTTTTGGGCTTTTTTAAAGACCAATTTAAAAGTCAAGGCGACATAAACTCGTTATGACAGTGAAGGTTACTTTTACCACAGGAATCTTAACAGTATTACACTGTACTGCTTGCTAAATTCCAGGATCTTACCTTATAAAATGCACCACTCCTTCATTTGTATGCCTTTGAAGATATCTTTGTCAGGTTTGAAAATGTTAAGTGACTCCCCGCGATGACACTTGATAGACTATCATATGGTCTGCCAGGTGTGCCGGCAGGTCTGCGATGTTCAGACCAATAACGAAGAAAAACTAAAATTAATTTAACATTTTCTTTATATTCAGTCTTTCATGGAGCTCTTTATATGATGTATTCAGTAAACCATCCTACCATAGGAGATTACCAGAACAACGCCTGTTTTTACGTCAAGGGTGAAGACCTGATGTTGGGTCCAACTTGCCAGTACTTCATTGCACATGTTCCTGGGTTTAGTCGGGATCGTAACACCATCTCCCTTGAATCCTATTGCAAACGAGGCTACTTCCTACGACAAAAGAGATATGGTTTCATACTGGCAGCGACGCATGCAAGCCTAAATTTTGGCAAGTGTAGTTCTTGGATACAGGCAATAACATAGATTTTTTTTATTTCAATACACTAGCCATTTTGCCCTTGGATAAAACGCTTTTACACACGGGGAAACAACTTTTAGTGTGTGACCGATTTTCCCATGCATATGGTGAATTTGCCCCTGGCAAGAGAGAATGAGCTAGGAGAGCGAGTCCCTGTGCCCCATGATAATTATATGAAATCTATAGGTTCACGCGCTTGCGACGAAGGTTATATTTGTCTGATGTTCCCGTAGCCTCCCACGCAGGCGTTTTCAGGGGAGTTCATTTTTCATCCCTCCTTTTTAGGGAGGGGTGAAAGACGAGCTCCCCTACAAACGCTTGTGTGGGAGGCTAATGTTTCCGTGACCCAGGCTATCTACTTTTACGTGAACGCAACATGTTTCGCCGCCAAGCCTTTGAAGTTTGACAGCAATTGCAACAATTATCGCACTAAAGGTTTAAGTTGTTGACAGGTGCTTTATCAGCGCGTTCCACTCATTATTTAGGAATAAATTTCATTAAGTTGGATAGCAGTATTGGAGTCAAAGAGATTAAAGATTGAGATTTAAAAGATTGAAATTTGCTAACTGCAGGTAGCCTCATTTAAAGTATCGAATATTGAATACTGACACATCGTGAGAACAAAGGCAAAAATTGTCACCGGCGAAATACGAAACCTTAAATAGCGGCTGGCTTCAGTTGTTTATGCAAATGTGCAAGATATTTTTTTCTCTATCTCCAGGAATATTTCTCGTTCAGATACAGCACACTTGCTTTTATGATGCTTTTAAGAATTCTTCTTGAGAGTTTTAAACTGCATTACTTCTTCTCAGCGTCCAATACTTTCTATGAATATTTCGCTGTGCGAGCACAAATCAGGTCAGATGCCTGAAGCTGTTAAACAGTCGCTAACCTGGACGCCAGAGACGCGGTTTCCGATTCCGGTCAATGCTTTATAGTAAGCGGTGCGCCTACATTACTCTTGAACATTTGGCTAACGCCCTCTCAAAATTCAAATGTTTAGCTGCCAAACATGACGTGTTTGAACCCACATAGAATCTATTTTCATTTTACCTGACCAAGTTTGGATCCTAAACGACGGTATCACAGCTCGCGGGTTTACGTGGATTTCGCCAGGAGAGACAATGGTCATTTAAAATTATAGTGTGGCTTACTCGAGGTTGTTGGTTGTTTATATACTGATGTAGCGAAGACCCCAATGAGAAGTTGTCGTCGAGTCGGAACAACTTTCTCCGGCGACTCTCGCACGCTAGGACCGTTTTGCTCATCGGCAGCTACTCTGGCAAGATTTTTCCACGTAGAATCTTCAACCTCGTCCCCGGGGTGCTTTTCCCTGGCTTTGTAGGCAGGGGGAAGCGCCCTGGGGACGAGGTTGAGAAATATTTTGACTCGTCGGCGAAGGTAATACCAATGTAAGTTTGCACGTCGTATCGCTCGCTGTGCGTGGGCGGCAGTGAAATGAATTACCCGCCAAAACCCACCCACCCATTTAAAATTACATGACGCCATTTTAATGTACCAATGAGGTGGCGTCCTTAAAATATCTATGCAGTATGAGACAGAACCAAGAATAGATTATTTTCATGGGAAGAGGGTCATGTATGGGGGATACGATCTCGTAGATCATTCTCTCTTGCTTAGGGGAATTCTATAGATAAGTCAAAGAGAACAAAAGAATTCCTTATGACAGTTCTCGAAGTAAGGGAATGTTTACATGGAGGTGGGGGACCCCAGGTAGGTGAGGTAACCCGCTTAGGTGGGGTAACCTGCCGTCCATATAATCTCTCATTTTAATGTGATCACGTTTACATGTTAGGTGGGTGACCCACCATATGGTACCTCATCTACCTGAGGTCCTCCACCTTAATGTAAACAGGCCCTAACATTTATGAGTTAATAAGAACCCAAAGCGGTTCAACCAATCACCAGAAAGTGAAATGTAGCAAAAAGTAGAATCACGGGTTGTGTTGATCTTGGCGCTGTGTCTTACGTGCAACTGGTAGGAATAGAAAAGATCGAAGAGAGCGCCAGAATTTTGGACGCTACTGTGATTTTTTTCTCATTTTATTAATTCAAAAGCACCTTGAGACACTAGGAAGTTTCTTTGCATCAGTGGTTAAAAATCAGAGAATATTGTTTCTGTAAGCAATCGTTGGAACCAATTCTGGGGACCCGCACTTTAAGTGGCGGGCGACAATTTGTCTTTTTTAAAGCGGGAAATGACGTCGATGTTTTCTATGTTGTCTCAGAATAAGGTCCTGAATCGCTGTTGCTAAGCAAAAAAGTTTAACAGGTCAAAACTTTTTACTGTTTGCGTCAATTTTCAATGTTTACAAGGTTTGAGTTTTTCTTCCCCTTGTGCAACTTTGTTAGCGTGCAGCCGCAAACATAAGAAAGATCAAAACAAAGAGCGAGCAAAACCCAAGTTATTCCCCAAGCAGAGCTTTCGGGAAAAGGGTCTTGTGTCGACTGTACCTATCGTAAGGCAGGGCTAAAGCTACGTGCAAACCGGGCCAACAATGTTGGGACCTGCAGTGCACGTGGGAAGGATACAACCCATTCGCTACTTCAATATTTCCCGTAATGCACGTTATAACCTTTTTTTTTCATTTCTCGTGGATCAACTGTAATCATTGCTTGGTTTGGTCGGTTTGGTTTGCAATTTCTCAGCTTAGTCCTACGAGAGCAAGTTTCTTACTGACCCGACCTGTTCGGTAAAGATGGCTGTATATTGACCAATATCCATATATCTTAACCTCATTTAGTTGAGCACCAAGGCGCCATGGTACCCAGTTTGTCAAAGTTGCAGGCTGGCCTTACTCGTGTAGTACTGCTATTATACTGCCCGCGTAAATCAGTTATTTCTACACATCCTTGAAACGACTTTAAGTAAGTGACGTAATTTCCACATATTATACGATTCCGCAGCTAAAGACGCTACGTTTTACATTGGACACCGAGTGGAACACAAAGGAACATTTTCCTTCGGGCTTATTCATCAAGGCTGGTACATCACAGAGTCGAATCAAGTTGGTTCTTCTTGGAAGACAGTGGCTGCTTTCGACAACAAAACAAGTGAATTTGCCATTGAAAGTTCTTTTGTTGTTGTACCCTACACAATGGATGATCCACTCAAAAACTGTGATACTATAGGCCCACAAGAGCCGGAGGGACCTGAAGGACCAACGCCTGGTAAACCACCCCCTGGACCACCCAGTATACCTGGAGAACCACCACCGCCCACCGTGCAACCTTCACCGCCCGTTCCTCCCACCTTGCTACCAGGAAGTAATCATTATATTTTGCCTAAACTTTTTACTTTATTAATCAATTTTGAATTAATTAAACTCTAATGGTATTCTGTTGCAAATACCTGCACTCTCTTATGGCCTAATGAACTATTGTGGCTAGCTAAAAAAAGACGACCAGTCGTAATAACCGCTAAATACTTCATTAATATATATTACCTGACCAAAGTGATGCAGAATGGATACTACTAGAGAGTAAATACCAATTATTGAGTTCTATAGAATTTTAGAACACAAGTTTTGTAGTAATCTAAAGAATCGGAATTTACCATTCTTAATTTTGAGCAAAGTTAAAAAGGAAGCGAAATCTGATGAATCTTCTTTCCTGAAGAAAGTTGAAGAGCCTGCTTTTATTTAAAGGAAGACAAAAACAAACAAACAAACAAACCATAAAATGTGTCACCAAACAAGGTTGGTTTTTTTTGGGGGGGGAGGGGGGAGTTGAGCTTTCTGAACAAGCCATGGACAGGGTGTGAACGTTGTGAGCACGTGGACTTCAAGTGTATGTGGTACAAACAATTTGTTGTTAAAAAAGAAAATTCTTTATGTCATCTTTTTTTCTATAAAATTACTTCATTCTACTATCTTTAAGAGGGTAACTATTTGGTATTAAACAGGATTTGGGTTAAAAAAAGAAAACACCTCGGCGGCACACTTCTACCCAAACTTTCCCCAACCCCGGGAGAAAGGGGCGCACTATATAAGGGAATCGGGATTCCAGAATCGGTAAAATTTTTGCTTGTAGAATCTAGAATCCGAGAACATATTTATGCGGGATCCGGAATCTTGGGCTTTGAATCTGGAATACAACTCAAGGAATCCGGAATCCCGCTAACGATTGAAATCTAGAACCCAAGTTCCACTAACAAAGACTGGAATCCAGTACTTGGAATCCAGAATCCACTGCGTGGAGTCCAGAATCCAATACTGTCTTGGATTGCCTCTCAAGGGAAAATATAGCTCTGCTCTTAATCTGTGACGTTATCCAAAGCGAAGGCTACCACCTTGGATTTCACAAACTTTAAATTCATAATTAGGCTAGTTACCTGTCAGTTCGGTAAATGCTCTTATTAGTAAAAATCGTTTTTGCTTTAAAATGGCTCTAACTCATGCCACTTACGACGTCACACTTACAAACCAAGGAACCTACTATGTGCAGAATGAGAGTCGATTTAAAAGAAAGAATGTGGGAATGGATCCCATGTACGCCGAAGGCTAACATAGTAAGAAATCTATCCAGAAACTTAAACACAATCCGGATCATGCCTACTAATTAAGTAAATGCGACTTTGGAAATTAATCAGAGAGTAGCTTGAATTTACAAAGTCTTTCTACAAGCTTAATTTAACCAACTTTTTCTCCCCAGGTAAATGTATTGCGCTTCGTTTCAAGAACATGGTTGGCCATAGATTTCACATATCTTCACCAATAAAAGTTGAGGGCTGGGATGTCTCGGGAAATGAGCTGAGAATACGATTAACTTTCAAAGACCCTCAGTTTCACAGTTTTATCACTTTCAGTGGGGAGGATCCCTACGGATACCTTATTCACCTCGATGGTGACAAAACAATCTCCGTTATGCCCAGAAATAACTGTGATCACTACATAGAAGTCATAGTAACAGCAGGTAAGGATCAAGTTTTTGTGCCAGTCAAAACGATTTCAGTTTGCAAGTGGCGCAGCCGTTTTGAATTTCGACCAAAAATTAGTGTCTACACTTGTGCAAGGTTATATAGTAATTTAATCTGGAGTCCCGCTTACGTGGAAAAACCGGGCTGTTCTGGGTAGACTAGTCACCCACCCACCAGAACTGCCACGGGTGAGCCAACTTTTCATGCACGCACCACCCATTTTTAAAGGGAAAAGCCCTGGGGACGAGGTTGGCATTTCCTTACAAAGCGTGGATAAGTGCTTACATAAGAAACAAAAAGTTAAAAAGGCTAAAAGGGCAACCCGCCTAGCTTGGATGGTAGAGTCACTCTCCTAGCCGGGCTAACTTTTTTTTCCAAATAAACACTTTGGACAAGTTTGGCCCGCCCAGCCAGGTCAACTCGGTCAAAGCGAGAAAATCAGAGCATCATGTTGGCTCGGGCAAAGGTGTAATTTTTTTTCTCATATAAAAGCTCGCTAAAGTTGACTCGGCTGCAGGGGTTACCCTTCTACCCAGGGCGGGTGGATCATTACAGTCGACTCTCTCTTAACGAAGACCACTATAAAACGGACACCTCTGTAAAACGGACACTTAGAGTTGGTCTCTGCCTTTCTTTACTCCCTTTATTTGACTCTCTATAAGACGGACACTTGGTGCCGGTCCCAAAGGTGTCCGTCTTAGAGAGAATTGACTGTATACGTTTCTGGGAGTCTGCCCACCTACCCCTCTCCTAGCCAACATTTTGCCTTAAGTGCGAAGTAAATGTTAATGTCGGCTTAGGGGAGGGGTAGGTGGGCAGTTTCCCAGAAACGTCTCAGGTTTTCCCCATACAAACGGAGCTAAAGGCAAGTCGGAGAGCCGGGAGCTCTATACAGTCAACTCTCTCTAAGACGGACACCTTTGGGACCCGCACTAAGTGTCCGTCTTATAGAGGTGTCCGTCTTATAGAGAGTCAAATAAAAGGATTAAAGAAAGGCAGGGACCAACTCTAAGTGTCCGTTTTACAGAGGTGTCCGTCTTGTAGAGGTTTCCGTTAAGAGTGAGTCGACTGTATCACCTGACTGTATTTTGCACAATTGATCATCATAAAGTCGAACATAAAATTAATACTCGGCGTTACATAACATCTGCTTGTTCGCTCGCAAACTGGTCATGAATTCGTCGGACGGCTGAAAAGCTGTTGCCCTATTAACACTGTATTCATTTTAAACTACTTGAAGGCACAAAATACAGACATTGCAGTACGGAAGTGATGTAATGCTTCTTGCATCAAACATATACAGCAATTAATAACCAGTAACTGATGGATTTTCCTCACGTATAATAAAGCAGACACTTTTATAAAAATGGTCAAATGGCCCTTCTCCTCTTTAAGTTATTGTATGATGAAAATTATTATTTCTTTTTATTTTAGTTTAATTTCAGAGTGTACTCTAACTTAATATGTGTTTTTTTCTATATGTAGGTAGTGATTATGATTAATGATTAATTTATTAATTATCTTATTAGTTACTTATCTAATTCACATCAGTCTAAGCCACTTGCAGCATGCGGGGCTTCTAAAGGCCGCTCTGTAACTTGTTGCTGTGTGCGTAATGTATGTAATTATAATTATTATTCATTCTAAATATTTCTCCTTTTCTGGCTAAAATTCCACGCATAATTCATCATAACCGCCTATTATCGACTAAATTTGGACGAATTATGTGATATGAGAAAAATGACGTCAATCGTGCAGCACAATTGCCAGTTTATTGAACAGTTAACCGAGAAGACCTGGGGTGAGGTTGACTTGTTTTGGTATTGAGTACAAAATGGAGGAACATTTCACTCGTTTCACGAGGAGAAATATGCGAACTATTGGCTAAAACCATAGCAAGAACAGTAGGAAGACAACTTGACGGACATCTACTAATTGGAGAACATATACAGAACTAAACAACCCTCTATCTCTTAAACTTGCCGATAAACATGCATTATCGAACATAAACTTAACATCGATGCGGGTAAGTATGTTTTAGCTTGTATTCAAACTGGGAATTATTTTGAATGAATAATAAAACATGCACAATTATTGAATTCTGCTTTCGTATCATCTGAAGAATTATGGAGATCGAGGATGTTATCCGCCGAGGCCTCCCCTCATCGACCTCATATAATTTTTCAGATGATACTCAGCCTCATTGGATATTTGTTAAGTATGACTTAAAGTTTTTATTGTTTTCTCAAAAATTTCACTTTCTCTACAGAAACTGTAATAAAAGAACAATAATCAGTATCATCTAACTTGGCAGCTCGGTACTGCTTTATAACTATAAAAATCCATCATTTTTCTCCCCATTTTTCTTTTCATTATTTTTTAGAGCCTCCTCCTCCTCCTACAGTGCAACCTCCAGTTGCCCAGACCACGACAGCACCAGCAGGGGTTCCACCTGTACCACCGGCCATACCGGCACCGGCGGCACCACCTCCTCCTCCACCACCACCACCGCCTCCACCTCCCCCGGCTCCTCCTCCACCTCCTCCACCTCCTCCGCCTCCTCCGCCTCCTCCTCCACCTCCTCCACCCCCACCACTGCCACCAGGCCTAGCCCCACCAGTACCAGCACCACCACCTCCCGTACCACAGCCTCAAGCACCGCCGCCGGTTCCTGCTAAGCCTCCCGCCGCTGCCCCGCCAGCACCTAGTGTCCCACCACCACAGACGTTACCTCCAGTAACACGTAAGCAAATCTAATTCTAATTCTTTACGAGACTGAAAATCTATAACAAAAGGAATACGCTAGAAATAAGTGATAGTTTTTCTGTGATGGCTAGTGTGGCAGTTAATAAAAATGAGCAAAGGTTGTTGTACCGTTTTCTCAGGTGCGAATCCTAACAATCCTCCGTAAGCGTCGTTAAGTCTTTCATAAAGTTTAATTTTTTTGTTTCGTTAAATGCATACAAGCCTGAAACTATACCACCAGAAATCAGAGAGTGATCAACATCTACGCGTTAATCAACACTAAGTTATTAAATAAGCTTATAAAGGCAATAACGGGATAAAGAAAATGATCGAGCAATTGCCTCACGAATTCTCTTCACCACGGTAAGGGAAACTGGATGGATAATATAATTCTCGCTAGTGTCAGGGTTAAATTGGCTAAGTCATATATTATTTCTTACAGCACCCCCTCCACCTGGAGGCACGACATCACAGGGTAAGAAATAGTTTTACGATTAATATTTAACTGAGAATTGCGCTAGCTGGATTGTGGTAAGATTGGGATTGATTTGGTGAACTCCATTCACCTCATGACGCATTACAGATTGGCTAAAGACTAACAGATCAACTAATCTCAGTTATGGCACTGCGTGATTCTGCCTTTCATTTAAGAGTAAGGGTTTGACGACGAGTATGAAACAAAGTCGGTGTTGTGTCTCATTGCATAATGGATAATGGAGTGTTTTGGTTGATGAAGCGATAGCGTCCCCAAAACAGTCTCATTGTGCAACGCCGCTCCGGTCTTACATGCCCGGGAGGGGAATACTTTAGGAATTTTTGGGTGGGGATGTGCCGCTGGAAACCCTGGAACCCTTAGCCTATACCAGAGCAAGTTCAGCTGAATTTTGTTACCCTATACTACACTAAATTCCCCAAATCCCTCTATCGCTGAGTTGCGTAAATTTAAACTTTCCAATTTAACTTTTCTTTATATTTTGGAGGGCCAGTTCCCGGTTTCCCTAGTCTAGACTAAAATCTTCAACCAATTGATCAGTTTCCTGGAAAATGATACCCTATTATAAACCCAAACTCTCTGATTTATATACTCTATCCCAGAGTACACTGCTTGAAAACCATACCCTTCACAGCGGCACATACCTATATAGCCCATATTTGGCAGTACCCCCCGGTCGTACATGCAACCTCAAAATGACTAATAACATAGCGTCTTAAGCTACGGTAATTGACCACCCCAGAAATACCATAGCATACCATAATGATCTTTGTTTTTCACTCCAAAATTTTGCATAAGCATTGTCTTCAGTTTCTCTTGGGAGCTAAAATGGCGCCAAGAGAAACTGATAACAATGCTTATGCAAAATTTGGGTTGACAAACAAAGAGCATTATGGTATGTTATGGTATTTTTTGGAGTGGTCAATACGGGCAACAAAAACATTTAGCTTGTTTTGCATCATTGCTGCAAAACGAGTTAAAACGCAAAGTTGCTCGTTTTACAACATCTTCGATTCAAACCTCTCGCAACAAATCAAGTTGTTCGGAAAGCTGCTTGATTGCTGGCATCTGATTGGACACAATTACGCGGGAATCACGCTGTGCACAGGAGGTACGTCACTTGTTATAGAAAACGTCTGTCTTGGGCCGGTAAACGCACGATATGTACAGATTTTGATGTAAAAAAAGACTACTCTCTACTTTCTGCAACACTTTTTCGTAAAGTGCAACCTGATGATAAGCTGATTTGCTGCAAGACAGGTTTGATTCGTGGGTACTAAAACGTGCAACATCGCTGTTCAACACGTTTTGCAGCAATTTTGCCAAACAAGTTGCAAGTTTTTGTTGCCTGTTTACGTACCGTCGCTTTAAATCGACCTGAATCATAACAAACTGAAAGATGTCATATTTATCACGTCATGGACGCGTCTCTGAGGGTCGCTATTTTCTATTTGGACAGTCAAACTATACTAATGTATTTTTTATCGTTCTCTAGGTGGAAAAGAAATACACTATCATATTCACTACCATCCTGACGGTAAGACTAATATTTACGATTGAATGGAGCGTTTATACTCACATGCGCAGCATCTAGAAACAAATCGGTTAATTTACAGTTTCGGGCTTAGTATCCTAGCCTTTGAGGGAACGGAGGCTGAGGTTGACCCTGGTTGTTTACCATTTACAATTAGTTCCCGTAAATGGGTTGAAGAGTCAATGGAACATAACCTTTTGGGTCGTTCGAGCGGAAAATTTCCAGGAGCAACGGAATATCTGAAAAGGTAGTCCTCTTTTTCTGGACGGAATGTTTCAAATGGATTTCGTGTTCCATTTCTTCAAGGCCACCTTTGATACCATTTTCGGGGTTTTCGCTGCCGTTTTTTGAGAAAGGAAATGATTGGTACAAAAAATAATGGTAAACGCCATTCCGGGACGAAATTCACCAGTCCTGGATTTTGCTTACCATTTACCCAAACCGTGAACCAACCGGTATGCCCATGTAAATGGGACAGCCCTTCTTTTGGTGCAAACCTCTTTCCTATTCTTATGGAAATTATGGACGCTTTCCATTCAACCAAAACTTTCGAAAAATATGGAAACAGCGGCAAAATGGTACAGAAATTCCCGGAAAAGGTTCAAGAAATTCCGAGAACTGTTGAATTTCCGAAACGCGAAGCATTTAACCAAAAATTCGAGAAATTCCAGGAGCAAAGTCGAATGGAAGGAAAACATCCGGGAAAATTGTTTCGAAAATTGGGGTATACCTCGCGAGGTTGTCCCCTTTTTGGAAATTTTGGAAAATGTTATTCTATTCGCTATTGGAAGTTGCTGAAAATTCAAAGCGGACGTTTTGGATGAATGGAAAGCGCCCTATGCCTAAAAAATACTAGTTTGCTGCAAAGAAAAACATTGTGATTTACATAACAAAGAGAGAAAACAAGGTCAACTCCAGTTATCAAAACAAGGTCAACTCCAGTCTCGTTTCCATCTGTAACTGTAAAATGGGCTATTAATCAAAACAAAAGCAAGCGGTTACAAAAAAACAACCCATAATTAGAGGATAAAAGAATCAAACATTGATATAACTTACCGAAGATACACTTTTTGTATTACGGAATAAATTAAGTGAGGCCTAATATACAAGTTTTAGTATGACTAAGTGGAATCTCGTGTTGTAGGCACGTGACTTTGTGAGGGGCTTGCGTCACCTACTGTGGTGCTATGCATCTAAAAACCGCGTGGGAAGCAAAAAATTAATCAATATAAGATTTGTTGGAAACTGACCGGCTCAGCTGCGAAATAGCTCTTCTGGGATATTTTGATCAATGCCTATACAATGTCGCGAATCCGAACAGCACGAGACTCTATGAGGCTTAAAATTAATGGTGATAATCCAAAAAAACTGAGTTGTTTTATACAACGAAATATTTTCACAAATGAAGAAACTTGATTAGTAGAGCTGGATTTCGCGGTTGCATCGAGCAGTTTCCACAGAATGGTTTTGGAGGCAAGGAATGCAAGGTAAGATGTTCGTTAACTGTATGGCAAACCTTAATTCAATTTATTTTTCTTGGATTTGTAGCTTTAAAGAAGTTCTGCAATCTCTGATTCTATTTAATTTTTTTGCAGGCCATATCGGTAGCATCTGTCCACTCGTGTGTAACAAAATTCAGTCACCATGTCTTCCACCTTGCCCTATTGCATGCTGCAATAAAAGATTCGAGACAACTTCCATCGAGTCTGTGAAGCGTTCAAACACAAAGTCAGCATTGGCACTACCCACTAAGTCTCAAAAGCGTTCAAACAAAAAACTCACAAAGGCAGCGTCGATACCTTTCACTAAGTCTCAAAAGCACCGAAAGGCAATACCCGTACCTTCCATTGACTCTGTGAAGCGTTCACACATTGAGACAAAGCCAGTATCCTCCACTAAGACAGAAAAGCTTTCAAAAATAAAAACAACACTGATGTCTTTCACTGAGTCCGTGAAAGTTCCAAACAGACAGGTGCTCTCCACTGAGTCTGCAAAGCGTTCGAATATAGAGGTAACACCGGTCGAGGACAGATCAAAGGTCATTCGGCAGAGCTGCAGTTGCCTCATGGATTGTGATGGAGCCGTATTGGACGAAGACAACCAAAAATGCCACGAAAAATGTATGTGTCATCCCGACGAGAACTCCACAACTTTAGAACAAGACAAAATCTCCGATCATGTAGATTCCAAAAAAAAAAGAAAAGCTTTTCCTCGTCCTCACATTGGTTCAAAAGAAATGGAGAAAATAAAGCATTTGTTTACAAAATGGATAAGGGAATATAATGCCGGTGTCCAGAGAGGAGAGAAAAATGAGGAACACACTAGCAAAAATAAACCATTAAGAGATCAACGCGTTAGTTTTATCAGCAAAATGCTGAAAAACTACCAGTATTTTCGTCAAAAAGAGAAAACTTTGCGTCTGATAGAGCAGGAGCAAGAGGACCTATCTAATCAGCAGCAACACTTAGAAGATTTACTAACCAAACAAGAAGATGTGCTAACAACGAAAGGCAGTATTCATGAAAAGGTTGCCACTCCCGGCTTAGCAAAAACTGAGCAGCACCATCTGCACAAAGATGATGTCAATATTTCAATAACCACCTCTAACGCAACCCAAGCTCCTCCCACAACAACGGCTCCGGCAAATGTGGCTATCAACCAGCAAACGTTAAGTGAAATTGAAAACATCAAAAAGCAGATAGAAGAGATTCGACAACAACAAGTCACCCTCTCCCAACAGCAAGTTCAGCTGGCTGACCAGTTAAAGGAGGAACAGGCTATTTACGAGCAAGCTAAAGCAATTATTCAGCTTGTTCTACAACAAACCCTAGGTGCTGCTTCCACCGCTGCTGCAGCTAATGCTGCTACGAAAGTCCCTGAAACACAGTCAGATTATGAGAACAAATTATCCCCAGAGGCACCGGAAGCATCGAACGAGGAATCAGTTCCGCCCTTGACTTATTTAGGCCAGTTACAACGGCTGCTCTCGAGGCTCATGTTCAAAAACGATGAAAATTCCCAGGAAGGCAATGCCAATGATGATGAACAATACGTGTTTTTCCAAAACTCTCAGGAAGGCCAGTCAAATCGGAGAAATGAAAATTCGGTTTATGCAAAAGACGCTGATATCCCCGTGGAAATTGATCGCAGTGACCTAAATGATCAAGGGTTACAAAATTCATTGCTCAGAAGAGACAGTGCTGATAGGTCGGTAAGCGAAGATGATAATGAAGGTGCTTTTTTGTTAGAAAAAGGCGACGATGAGGAAAGTATTGCGCCAGGTTATGCGGTGATGGAAAAGAAGACCCTGCATCCAAATGATCTGATCACTGACTCAGAGAAAACGACAAAAGAGATAAAAGACAAACCTAGAGACTTGACACATAACACGGAAAACCGTGTTTAAGGCAATGAAGGTGGAATTTGACTCTTCAAGTATATTTCACCACAGTAGCTCCAATCAATGACCAGCAATTGTAGGCCAACTTGGCATGAATACCACGCTGTTCACAATAATAGACAACGAATAAAAATAGCGATGCCATAACGACGCAAAGTCATAATTGTGATCGAATGCCTCTAGTTTCGGGTATTTTCTGTACGTCCATGCATCAATGATTCGGATCACTGAGACAAGGGCAAGTTTTACTGAATATGCTAAAGTGCTACTGTCAACTGTCAGGCTGCTGTTAGGTTTTGTTATTAAATGATTAAAAGCCTAAAATGAACATTCATAGTGTAGATGTAAATTTCATACATCTGCAGAAGTCTGATGAAATAGGCGTCTATGAAAATTTGTGGCCAGCGGTTCAATTATAATGTTTTTACCTTGGTCTCAAGCCTTATTGTGGCATAATTAAGGTAAGGTCTGGTCCACAACTGCAAAGCATTGAGGAGCTTAAAAAAAATATCCACTTTAATGTCAAATTACCAGCCAGGTTCCAGACTTAAGCAGTCGTAAACGCCACAAAAGCATAAGTGAACATGATGCCTGCGGTTGTATTAGAGGGTTGACGTTGGTCACAATAAAAAGCAGATTCCAATATCGAATTAAGGTTATCAACAATGGCTCTTGGTAGCTGTGAACCCTTTCAAAGCTTCTCAATGACGTGCTTAGCTTTACCCTATTTCGCTACGCAGTTTTTGAAATCATCAGAGTACCTTCAATAATTTCTTGGCTTTATTGAATCGGCTAAATGGTAAGACCTTTACCTCTGTTATCCTCTGCCCTCTGTACCCGTCAAAGTGTTGAGCAAATATCGTTCTAAAGGAAAGATAGTAAAATAAAGACGACATGATCAATACATTCTGTGTGCAGGTTTTCTTCTTAAGATGGTGCCATTTTTTAATTTAGACCTTATACTGTAAAACTCACAGAACTGTGAGCACCACAACTATGTCAGGGTTGCTATTTTGTTGAGAGAAAAAAGCCAATTAGGCATCGGAAAACTAAACCACCAGCATCTACGGTAATTAGTGTGTGGTTCGTGGCTTGTTGGTGGTTTCTGATCTTTGTTTTGAAGAGAAGTCCGGAAACATCGATTTTGGATTCGAGTTCGAGTTAGACCTTCATTTGGACAGCAAATTGGACTTAGAGTTAAAGTTCGAGTTTCATATTTTTCATTCAGATTCACATGAATTTTGTACGTCTTTACATGGGCCACGCCCTCTTAAAAGGACAATTTCGTCTTACTAATTCACAATGGAAAATGGAATCATACATTGTTAAAACCTATATCCCTGCTCTATAAATTGCCGCGTTTGAATTTAAAAAGGCATTAGAAAGGTGATTGTAATAAAATTCTCTTTTCACTCAATTTCAATGGCTCCTTTCATTTTTTCCAAATCAAGGTCAAATTCTATCTGCTACATTATTTTCTATGGACGACCATTTTCCATGTAGGCCATTTTTCGTGTAGGCCAAAGTCGACCAAATTGCTTTACCTCCGTTGTAACTGGTCACGACATAATAAACAATCCGGTGCTCATGGTTTTTTCGAGTTTGACAGTAAAAGTGGTATTCCCTCTCCATTTTTTTTTTTTTTTTCATTTTTTAAGGTTAGGGCCAACAACTTTATTGGTACCAAACTGTATTACAATATTGATTAAAAATATATATATTAACAAAATTAAAGGGGACTACAAACTGCTCCCAATAACCAGGGCCTTAGAATCCTCGTGGTACACACCTATTCTGAACGAGATCTTAGCTCCATAAACTCGAACGTAACAATTATAGTTCAATGCAAGTTTCTCCTTGCTTTTTATACGTGTTGTCTCTTAGTGCTGGGATGTTCCCCAACTCACGGTGGAAACTCTGAAGGAGCCTGTTGTATGTTCCCCTATACGTACAATGGAGAACAGTACAACAGTTGTACTGATGTTAACAGCAGGAAGCTGTGGTGTTCAACCACGAGAGACTACAACGCCGATCAAAAATGGGGATACTGTCAAAGTGAGTTGTGTTACTTAATTTCAGTTTAATTGCTATAACAGACATCAGACGCAGCCTTTTACTGGCTACTTGTGTTTCTCTCAGCCAATATTGGTGGAAAGGGAATTGTGAATGTGGTTTAAGCCCCATGCAATAACATTAGATTCAGAAAAAAGCCCACTCTGACTTAAGCTTAGGGATGTCCAGCTGGACAAAACTGGGACTCAATAAATTCTGTGTAGACAAAAAAGTATTACGGTTTTTAAAGTAACTCGGGTGAAGTCTTCCTAGACCTCACCTTGACTTCAAATAGACACCTACCAATAAAGTTACAACGTGACTAACACTAGATCAAAATCAGCTCACATTGGCAAAAAAGTAGGCTGCAAACTACAACTTGACCACAACAGCACCAACCAAAGTTCACTAAGTAGGCGGCAAATGGACAAAACAGTTTAACTAGGCTTATATTGAGTGCAAAAAAGGGCTAGAGTTGAACGGCAAAAGCAGTGGTCCAGTAGTATAACTAGACTCTGGAGTCCAACTGGACCGCAACTGAGTAAAACTGATCAAACTGGACCCACAAGAGAAGACAATGCAACATTTAAAATCCTTAAAAGTAAAATATGAGCTTAAACACGGCTTTGCAGCCATCTGTATCAACCTCCCACATGAACGAACCACCTATTTCCACTTCCCAGAGTATCTTCCTGCTTGGGTGTTTAGGTTTTTAGATGTGCTGTATTCCTTTACTTGTCTCCAGATTGTCATCCGACACACGGTGGAAACTCCGGTGGATCATGCTGTCAGTTCCCATTCACCTACAACAATATGATTTATCACCATTGTATACATGGAAACCAGGCAAGACCATGGTGCAGTACCACTTACAACTACGACAAGGACGGACATTGGGGCTATTGCAAATCCAGAGGTTAGTTGAGCTCCATATGTTTCAAGTATTTTAGAACAGAAAGAGTCGTTTGATACTAGAAAGAGAGACGTGTGACGTTACGATACCATGATGACAAAATTTCTGGAACTCAACAATCTTACTTGACAGAGAAGGCCATTTGCATTGTCGAAATGATGGAAGAAAAGTATGGACTACCATTTTGTTCCTGAGTGCAATCAAGCACAGGAAAGTCATAAATATCAATTTCTCCCTTTTTTATTTCCTGCTATATTTAATGGACCGAAGTTTGTGGAGATCCAGAAATTTTGCTAGTATGGCAAAGTAACGAAACGACTTATCCTCTTTATTAAGACAGTTATTCACGTGCCAAGCTTAGATGAAAACGACAATATAGGGTATTGAGCACTTAACTACATTTTGAACTGCTGGAGGGAATATAAAATATTCATTCGCCCTCTCATCGACAATCTGCTTGCCCAAATGAACCTTTTTAGTTAAGTAAGTTATAGCAAGAAAAGAAGGCCTGACTGCAATAATTTATCCAAATGTACCATTTTTTACAGTTCGATCTGCACCTCAGTCAAAAAGTCTTCATTTCCACGTGAACCAGCCCTGTCCCGGCCACTGCGAATCAAACTGTGATGACTTCTGCCCTGGTCACTGCTGCACCACTACAAGTTCCTGTCCCACCTACTGTGCGCATTCCTGCAAACCAACTTGTCCTGATGAATGTTGCACCCTCCCTTTGCCTGTCATTCACAATGTTAAACCACCACCACCACCCCCTCCTCCTCCACCGCCACCACCACCACCCCCTTCCCCACTTCCACTTCCACCACTCCAACCACCTTCTCCGCCAATGATCATCCAGGCTCCCTACCCATCTTCCCCTCCACCTTCATATATTGTACCAGCTCCACCACCAAATTACCCAATGGCGCTACCACCACCCCCATCGTGTCCAGCGGTGTGTGGCACTGTATGCATGGGGTCTTGCCCAGTTGCCTGTTGCACAAAGCTAATTCCAGCAACACGAAGGGTGTACATTTCCCCCACTGGAGCTCCTCCACCTCCATACTACTCGCAACAGCCCCAGGGCTACTTCCAGCCACAACAACAACCGTGGCCTACCTCTTGTCCTGTCGTATGCAGGACGAAGTGCATCGGCTCATGTCCAATCCACTGTTGTCAAAGTAGTGTGCTTGACAATCTAAGACGCTTAGCAAGCGCTCGGGATCATCACGTGAAAAAGTCGGAGACACCATCCACTCCAGGCAGTCAAGGTTATCATCATGGGCCACCCCTTCTTAAAGCTACTGTAACCGCCACTTCCTCGTGTCCAGCCATCTGCTCCAGACATTGCACGAAAATTTGCACGCAAGAATGCTGTTCCGAGCGGTCCGTGGGAATCTAATCACCACATTTCGATAAGATAGAGCTCAGTCAATAAGAAGAATTTCTTCAAAGTAGAAAACCAGGTGCTTGGTCACTTGGCATTGATTCTTAAGCAATAGTATCACCAGATTCATCGATATTCTACAATACTCTAACTACAACATAATGAATAGAAGCAATGAAAGTTTATGTTTTGTATCAAAAGAACATAAAGAACATTGACTGAACTTTTTGTATTTGTAGTTTCGTGTACAATTGTACTACTTTTACTGTTATATTACCATAGTTGACAAGTGATGTATTGAAACTTTTGTATAACATGTCTTTCCTAAGGTTGACATCCTTTTGTTTCAATTAGTTCGATTTGACTTCAAATAGTCCCAGAGTAACGTGTCTTGCTTCTACAGTATAACAATGAAAAATACCAGGCAGAATTTGCGTAAACCGACCATTTATTGTTAAGTTGAATCTTAAGAGTCTCCTTATTTTCGTAAGATCGTAACGACTTGTGCTTACTATAACGGAAAACCATCTTAGTTTCAGGTACTGACGGGGCGGCCGTCGGAAGAAGGACAAGTGAAAACAGTGATCGAGACTGAATCAAATTAACTCCACTCTACGTAGTGTTTGGAGGAAGCAGGTGAAATTTTACACCTTGTCTTTTTACATAGCTAAGACAACGTAAGAGTTAGGAAAATGTAACGTCTTTTTCACTGTATAGTTGAAAAAAAAAATGTTGACAGCTATATAGTCATAAAACTAAGGCAGTACGTGTGTATAAAAATAGACATGATGTAATATCGAAATAAAGAATAGTGGTGAAGCTATAATAACCACATTTTACATGACTGTCTATTAAAGATGCAACAGAGGGCTTTCTGAGTTGTACGTACTCAGGGGATAAGGCGAAACATTCCGTGGGTGCTGGCTTCACTCACACTAATCACGGTGTTCTTTCCTCGTTATTTCGAGACCGATCAAAACCAAAAAAACCCTTACTGTATAATAAGTGACTGATACAGCAAAAAAACATTAGAATTTTTTATTTGTTGTGACTTTTCAGTTAAGGGAACTTAGAAACAGAAGGCTTGAATCGTATCTCTCAAAGGTGTCGGCTTCAGCTGCTCACGGGAATGTGGATATAAAGACTTTATTTAAGAAATGAAAAGTAGTTTTGAAGTAAAAGCCACCGTTAGCTTTCCGCTTACGAGTGAGTCTGTTATTAGAGTTAAGCTTGGTTATTCGACTTACTGTTTTATTTTATTCCCAACTAAATTTACAGGGACCAGAGTGAACTTGCATGCAAGATGCCAATCTTAATGTCCCTATGCCATGTTTTATTTTGCAAAGATCTAACAAGAGGGTGCAGGGAGATGAATTCTTGAACTGTTCAATTTTAGGGTTTCTAGAAAGCAATCGTACGTGTTGACGAGTCACTCCAACAAAGTACACAAATTTTCAGGTAACTGACATTGAGCACATTTTTACGGTAGCTGAAAGGAAAATGTTTGAAATAAAATTAAAAGTGACATTGATATTTCTACAAACCATTGTAAGCTAGACCAAATGTTATCGTTTGGTTTTCTTATAAGGAAAGAATGCTGATAAAAAGAGGTACAAAACAAGCAAAAGTAACTTTAAGGTGTCAATTACTTAGCAATAACAAGAACTATACTTTACAAAATTATGTTTTCATTCCTTGTTTGCTCTTCTTTCCAGTGCTCATTGGTTCTTCCGTTAGAATGCGATAACAACTTTTCACTTTGTCAGCAGGCAAAAAATAAAATACAGCAACGACAACAAAACATTTTTATCAAAACCATCAACACCTCGAAACAAAAGCAAAAGACGGAGAAATATCCTGAGGGTACGCACGTGAAAGATCCTTTCGTGCTCTTTGGCTGAAGAGGAAAATGTTTTAAACATCAGCGGGGCACACCCCTATCCTAAATTGGTATATCCCCGGGGGAGGAAGAAATGTTCATATTTTCCCCTTCCGCTCCTTCTAGACAGCTCCACCACCAGCTGCCTCCTCTCCTTGTTTCTTGATTGCCTCCCCCTGACTCCGCAGCTGTGCGCCTTGCTGCTGAAGATTCTGTCCCATGCTTAAGAGCTGCTGCCATTGTTGCTGGGGGCTTGGTACCTGGCCAGCCATTTGCTGCGACATTTGTCTCCCTTGATTAATTAGATTCATACCTTGCTGCTGATAGGCGTTACCCATATTTATTGCTTGCCTAAGATAGTTTTGACCCATCCCTGCAAAAAGTTGGAAATTTACATTAGAGCCTTAATTGACTTTGACTGCCTCAACTTTTTGTCCTCGTACAAAATCCGTCATAAAAGGAAAAGATTATGAAGGCTTAAAAGTGTATGCGACATTGCAGAAAGGTAGCCTGAGATATAAATCATAAATCTGATTAAATACTTAGAAAGACGATCACTCGATATTACAGTGACGACCTCCCTGCTCGTCTGCGCTAAAAAGCTCAGTAAAAACAACTGTGAACTGACCACTATCCACCATACATAGTTTTGCAATGTCGATCTTTGTCGCATTCTTCTCATAGCTCGTCTCAAATCACCTCAGTATTAAAACTATTCGTACATGTTGCTTTAAAACTTGACAAAGGGGTTGATACCAGTCATCTATACAGCTTGTTTTAATTTAAGTGACATGCGATGCAGAAAGAATATTGTGGATTATGGTGTTTTATATTCAACTCTGACCTTGAAAACCTTGAGCCATTCCTGCTCCTTGTTGGAAAGCGTTTTGCCCCTGTTGCTGCAGCTGACTCCCGAGCGACCTTCCTTGTTGGAAGGCACTCTGACCCATGCTCCGTGCCTGACCATACAGCCCCTGCCCAGTCTGCAGTAGTTGGTTTTGTAGACCAGATCCCATGCTCTGGGCCTGCCCGTATAAACCTTGCCCTGCCTGCATGAGTTGCCCTTGAAGCCCCTGTCCCATGTTCTGTGCTTGACCATACAAACCCTGTCCTGTTTGCATTAGTTGGCCTTGAAGATTTTGAGCCTATAAAATTGGAAGATTGAAGATATTTTCTCTACTGCAGAAAGCGGAGTTCCCTTTCAAGAAACAACTATTAACAGGAGTGAACATTATGAAATGGTAAAAGTTCGGTATACAGTTCCCCAAGTCCACTATAGTGAAACAGAGAAATTAAAGGGAGAGAAAATTGTTTAGCTATTTTTGCACAACAGACTAACGTGTCATAACATTCAAACGGTTTTTCATAAGGTTAAACGGCAGCAACAGAAGCTAACAGAATGAAGCAGTTAAAATGGTACGCTGCTCTCGCTTCCTTTTTTTAAGAAGGCTTTTATTGGTTTTCCATACATATGCAGATCGAGGAACGGACACGCACCTTCTTATAAACCTGACAAAAGGCAAAATATACTAGTTTGGTGGGTTTTATAGAAAGGGGTTCGCCCAGCGATCAATTAATGTGAATCGGATCCTGGCAAAGGGTGGATTACAGAATGAAGAGCCGGCTTCTCTACTACAATACCGTTAACTTCTGCTTATGAGCCATAGGCTTAACGACTTTGTAGGGTGTCGGAGGATTATAAACGGGGAAGGGGGGGAGCTTATAACCTAATTAAAAAAGCGTTTCAAAACAGGCTACAAAACAAAAGCGACATAGCAGTGCTGATCAAAACGCTTTTTGAATTTAGCCGCTTTTTTAAGCTTCAAAACGTGGTAAAAAAAAATTCATTTCAATACAAGCTAGAGGGGGACTTTGGATGTATTTTTGGTAAACAGGTAGATAGGACTGTAACTGGGGAGGCTGTTGCTCATAAGCGGAAGTTTACGGTAGAGCACGTTGAAATAAAGGCGTGTGTGGCCGAACTCGAGCACTTCAAACTGCAGATCTGGAGGTCCGGAGTTCAAGTTTTCGCCAGTCGCGTTGTTTCCTTAGACAAGGAACCTTACTCCACTTTGTCTCCCTTCACCCCGGCGACATACGGCTGGGGGTAACCCTGCGATGGACTAGCATCCCGTCCAGGGAGAGTAGGAATACTCCTAGGCATGCTTCATGTTAAGGAAACCGGGATAACCTATGGCCGTTTGGGCCTTTGGCTCATGTAAGACTTAACCTTTTACCTACGTTAAACTGACTGCCACATTTGTAAACGTACCTGCTGTAATCCTTGCTGGCCCATACTCTGCACTTGTCCCAAGGCTCCCATTCCTTGCTGCCTCATCTGGTTAAAAGCGCCCATACCTGTTTGACGAACTTGACCGTATATTCCCATTCCTTGTTGCTGTAATTGATCTATCGATTAAGGAAACGTTAATTTAAGAAAGAACAAATAAAACTTGATAAGTAAGAGAATTTTCAATAAAACGTTATGATGAACAAAAGTGCCGTGTTGCAGTTGGGGTTTGCTTGAAGTAAAAGTTTATCCTAAGTACAAAAAGAGGTAATTGATATGATTTAGGACGACGACTACTGCAAAAGTTAACTGCAAAGTTTCACAAGGCTTAGGGTTATGCGTTAATGTAAGACATAACCGACCGGTAGCGGCGAATGATGATGAACATTGTAAATCTTTTGTAAAAACGTACTTAACATGTATTTCATGGTTGTACTTCCGTTCCGTGCTTTGTTTGCTATTCGGACGATCGCACGAAAAAGAATTCACTTTGCTTTAATGAACAAAGCATTTGCTAGATTTTCCGAATTTTGGCACCTTAATCGTCAGTCAAGTGTTTGATGGAACCTTTGTACTATAATTCGGACCTTTATAACTTCAGCTGACCCATATAAATGCAAGTAGTGCGTGTTAACATCGTTCCCGGGTTATCCTTTGGAAATTGTGAGGGGGAAAGGTCTGAAGACGGCGATGGGTATGTCTTTAAAGCACAGAGGCGGCGATCTTACGAAACTGCAAAATTAATCGTTACTCACTGAAACTCTGTTGCCCCTGTTGGACAAGTCCTTGCCCTGTTTGCCTGGCATTTTCTAGTGCACCCATTCCTGCTTGCTGTGCTTGTCCAACTGCGCTCATGCCTTGCTGTTGAAGTTCGCCTCCTAAACCCATGGCCTCTTGTGATAGGCCCTCGCCCATTCTCTGGGCATTACCAACCTATAAACAGAGCGCACTCAAAGCCATCAGAGTTATTAACAAAAAATGGTAATTTTGTTTCCCGGGAGAAGCTCCCTTATTTCGCCTAAATGGGTATGTGCCGCTGAACAGAGAACGGTTTTTTCCGGTTTCAAATCTTAAACAGGGTGTACAATTTCGCTATTTAGCGTCTTGAACAGGATGTCTTTCTATACCAGAGCCCTTGAACAGAGTTTACACCTTGGCTGTGCACAGCTGGTCTGCATGTGGTGTCAGGTTTTGCAAAACGAAACGAATCTGGCTCATGAAAAAATATCGTTTGTCTCAAACAGGGTAACGAAAGAAACGCTTTGAAAACCTCGGCGGCACATCTCCATACGAACTTCCCTTACGTAGCCACGGGCTTTGTTAACATTTTTTTCTCATTAAATTAGACTTTTCAAATTCTAACACTATTGCAAAAATGTTTATACTATTTATAATACATTGCACAGCCAGCTCTCTCTCTGAAAAATCTGTTTATAGTATGCAATGTTAAAAACCCCAAAATGCTTAAGGTTGAATGTCCTTCTTAAATCTTCAGGGGAAGGGAAATAAGTTATATTCTACTCCGAAATGACTAAAAAAGTAAAACAAAAAATTATATCAAACCTCTCAACCTATTGTTTTAATCCCCTCAGCTATCTCCGGATTTTTTTTTCCAAAAAATGTTGTCTTGGACGGTTTTTTGGGGAATTTGGCTGGATTGTAAGCCAAGCTAACAACATAAAGTTTCGTACATAGTGAAGAGCAGTACAATGTAATCGCTACCGCAAATGTCTTATCAGTGATTCGACGGCCTTTTTGCGCTCCTACTAACAGTAAAATAATTTTAAAATTTATCCTACCTCCTGTTCGACTTGCTCTCTGATTTTATCGAACTCTTCTTTTCCCTGTTCAAAAATATCTGTAGCCATACTCTTCGCTTTGTCATAATATTCCGGAATAAGGGGTCTGACTCTCTCCACAAGCTTTTTAATTTTCTCTTTATCCACATTAACCAACAAGCCTTTAATATCGGCCGTATCGTATTTTGTAATTGACGAAAGTTCTCCTCCAACGTCACCGATCAGTCCTTTAAACTCAGACAAGACCGCTTCTTCAAAGACTTTCAAAGCTTTCAAACCATATTCTTTGCCACGATCGAACCACTCTGTGTTTTAAAAAAGTGTCAAAGAACTCAGAAGTATTTGTGCAAAAGCACGGCAAGAATTCAAAACCGGGAGTTGCATACTATGGTTTACAGTTAGCGTGAAAAATGCTTGGTGCAAAATATTTCAGCATCAGAATCCCGTCCTAAGTCCATCACGCTTTTTTGTACATTTCTTAGCCGTCGTTCCACGACTGCGACATGGAACTTCCTAATTTCACGCACCCGCTCCCTGGTGAACACAGCACAAAAATTTTCTTTTTGTTTTTCTACACTCAGATACGGTCCGTTCGGATTCAGCCCCAGAGAATTTTGCCAACATTTAACAAATTAAATGAAACTGAATAAGACTGATGAAGTTTGAAACAGTGCGAATTTACTTTTGAAGTGACTTTTTTAGTTTGTTTTTTTCATCCAGAAATTTCGCTACCGTGGCAACGTGACGTAACGACTTTCTCTATTTACAGTGAATTTTAATAGTTGTACAATCATTAAGTATTTCACCTTGCAAGTAGGAATTATTCAGCGTCTGATAAAACTAAATAGTTGTTTCCGTTTGTCATTGCTTTTAGGACATGCTGACTCAATCATTGTGTACAATGCTTTGAAATTCTTAAAGCACTTACGTTTTGCCATGTCAAAATAATGTCCCTTGATTTTGTCATTGTAAAAGTCCTCCGCCTTCGTAACCCAGGGCTTTAACTATAGATTAATTGTAGAAACAGTTGTGTCAAAATGAGAAATATATCGTATATGAAAGTTGATTTAACACATCACAAATACTTTTATAAAATTAATTCTCAATGTTAATCAAAAACTCAAACCTACCTTTTTGTAAAAGTCTTTAGCCTGTGCAGAGAACCAAAAAATTCTATCAGTCGTGAGAGTTAATCTCAAGGAAATTATACGGCCTTTACAATAATCACTGTAATGATACCAATGTAAAAGTCTTCAACCTTCGTCAAGTGTAGTATTTCTCACTTTTGGAAGAAAGAGCAAGAGTAATTATTCCCCCAGCTGACCTGCTGGTCAAAATGAGGCTCTAAGGCCAATGGTTCATCGGTTCACAAAAGATCCCTGCTATAAAATTCAAGTTATAAACCCCGTTTAAGCCCCTGGGTTTATAAAATTTCGTAAGAAATTTTGAGTAGGCTTATCAACTTGTGTATCATGATGAGCTATGCAGTTTTTACCTTTTCAGTCAGACCATCTGTAGTTTTTGTTAAGTCTTTTGCCACTCCCAGCCCTTGTCCCTGGAGCTGGTTAAATGCATTCATACCTGGAATAAAATTTTAATGTCATGCTAGCATAAAGGACCAAGACGGTAATGACTAGACAACACCTGGCTAGCATACGGTTTGTTGATCAGTTAAGGCAAACGTGCAAGCTGAGGTTTACACCGATCAGTTATCAAAAAGTTAAAAAGAGTGCTAATTATAATTCAATTAAAGATAAACAGGCATCCATTGATAAAAGTACATTTTTAAAAACGTTTGGTTCGAACACGAGGTAAGTAAAAAATGAACGGGGTCTATAATCCGGCTATATTCCCAGTCTAGCCTGCTTAGCAGGCGCTTGTGCAAACTAATGTGGCGCATCTCCCTCGCACACCCCTTTCTTTCTTGTTTCATAACTTTCAAGCGCCTGCTAAGCTAAGGAGGCTATTCCCACTCGTTCTGCCAGACAAACTTTGGTCCCTAATCCCCTGGGGCCCGTTTCTCGAAAGTCCTGATAATTAACGGGCCCGGGAAGCAGTTGCCGTTTACATTAAAGATCGAGGTTTCAATAGTTTTGCATCTAACATGATAAAACTGTCAGTTAATGAAACAAAATGGAGTAGTTTGCTAGCCAGGACCCGCGCTCTTATTCTTTATATTTCGATTTGAATATTTGATTTCGGGCCCGAAAAGTTACCGGGACTTTCGAGAAACGTGCCCCTGGCCCGTAAGCAAGCCGAAAACAATAGTAAACATAAACGTGCAGGATTTTACACTATCTCACTTTTTATGTTAGCATTTTTAGTCACCTTGCCCTTGTAACTGGTTCACAGCACCCATGCCTTGACCTTGAATTTGATTGGCCAATCCCATTCCCTGTCCCTGTAACTGATTGGCCAGTTGCTGTCCTTGCCCTTGAAGCTGGTTGGCCAATGCCATCCCCTGACCTTGAAACTGGTTCATTTGGTTCTGTGCTTGGCCAAGTATTCCTGCCCCTTGTAACTGATTAAACTGGTTTTGAAACTGCCCTTGGAACTGGTTTACCATACCCATTCCTTGACCTTGCAATTGCTTCATTTGATTCTGATACTGGTTCAACATTCCAGCGCCCTGATTCTGGAACTGGTTAAACTCGTTTTGAAACTGGTTTGCCATGCCTGCACCTTGACTTTGTAATTGGTTAAAGGCCTGCTGACCTTGACCTTGGACATTACCAAGTGCCCCTTGCGCTTGTCCCCAGACTTGCTGGCCTTGATCTACAACAAGAGACTTCCACTAAGGACTTTTTATTTCAGATGAAGTTTAACACACATAATCTACATTTCCATTAATTAAAAATAGTATCGAAAGGTTTCATTCGTTCTTTAAAGGGAAAAGCATAGCAAAAAATAATAATAAATCCGAGCGGTTCTCTGTTCAGCAAAATGTGGGTAATAGATAAGGTAACCTAAAGCAATATACTTTTTGTCAAGCAATTCTTTACTTTTCAAACAAAATATGAGATTTTTTTACGTTGTTTCCTTGATTTTTCTTGTTGTTGTTGATGTTCAGTTGCGTGTGTGAGTTTTATAAGTCATTTGTTCAGTTATATACTATATCGTCGTCAGAACAGAATTCAACTATGTAATGACTGTGGTACTTAATGACTTACTCTGAAATCCGCCAAGAGCGGCTTGGCCCTGCCCAAGTAGTTGCTGGCCCTGTTGCTGGGCTCCACCAATGGCAGCTTGACCCTGACCAGCCAACTGCTGTCCTTGGTTGATGGCTTGCTGTCCCTGTTGTTGAGCTCCACCAATCGCCTTAAACCGAAAAGAACTTATTGACGTACTCAAGAAAAACTAACAATGATAGAATGACTGAACGACAGACAATTTGACTAACAATATCCTGACGACCGTCAGACTGTGACAAAAATCGGGTCGAAAAGCCGGCATCAATCACATTTATTTAGAGTCTTCATTGCCAATAACATCAAGGTTTAAGTGACCGACGACCAATGACATCGCGACATTATTCAGCAATCAGGTCAATAACCAGAGTTTATTACCATCAACGGACTTGATACAACTCACTTTGACCCTAAAGATTACTACCGCATAGGTCGTCAAACGTCGTTCACTGCAAACAACAGTCCTGTTAAGTACTACGCTCACCCGGACGATTACGCTCAACCTATTTATGAAATGACTTCTTTACTTAAACCGGCAAACGTACTGGCAGAGATATAATCTGATCTAATAAGCCTCATTTTAGTTGGTTGGGCTGGGAATGCTGTAGAATCGTGGAATTCACAATGCTGTTTTGCCAATCTTTCCCAGGTTATGTTTACAAACTATGGCTACATTTTTCAAACCTGCCTTCAGACATTTGATGGTCAATTAATTCGGTTAGATGAAGCTAATCACAAAACCCAACTTAAGGGGCTTAGCTTACTTGTTGTCCTTGCTGTAAGACTTGTTGACCTTTTTTCTGGGCCTCTAAGGTTGCGTTTCGTAATTTTTCTTGCTGTAGTCGAAGCTGTTGCATATACTTTTGAGCTCGAACATAGTTTACGTATTGCAGAACTATGTAAGGATTGAAGTTAACCGTCTTTGGATCTGCAAAAAACGTTTACTTTTACTATCAGCACACATTTTTTGTTGTCATTTGAGGAAATCCATTATTAAAGAAAAATCCAACCGATAAGGTTCACTGAAGACAAAACGACCTTAACTGATTTTGAGTTTCACTTTGAGTTCGAGATGACTTAGTGTTACAGCATTTTGTTTACATTGACTTCGACGGTTGCAATTCGCAATCGAGATCGACTTTGAGTGAGTATACTATTAGATTTTGAGTTTGAAATTGAGTTTGAGTTAAAGTTCTACACTTCCAGCACAGATAAAAATTGATTTTGAGTTTGAATATTCAAATTGGAATCCAAGTTCGAGTTGAAGTTCATAAAACAAAACCAATAGGAAAACAATGCCATTACTTGCAGGAATCTTATGAAAAGCGCTTGCTTTTTCATCCTCAATGTCTCTTTGAAAATCACGTTGATTGAAACGTCATATCAAACGAGAGATCTAGTGCTTCATTAAAATTTCAAACAATAATAGAAGTTCGTCAAAATCACTCCGCTGTGCGTCTTATTTTTAACTCTGTTTTCAGTGTTTGAAAAAGGATGAAACACTGTGTCTATTGTTTGATATATCACTTACCCATCCCGTAGGGCACCAACTCGCAAAGAGACAAAGCCTTTCCACTCTCAGGCACCTGGATGTAAATGTACTGTCCAGTCAAATTACAGCTGATGGTTTTAATCTCACCAGGCCTTACGCTGTGCTTTTCGCCACATTTTGAATTTTTATTTCCATTATCTTCTAAACTTTCACCAATCCTGATCTCAAATTCTTTTAATTCGGTGCCATTTGGAGGGCCAGCGATATAGAGCTCTCTTATCGTCGTGCTGTATCCCAGGTCCACGCGCCACCAAGGCTTGTCTTGAGTCTGGGTCAGGGAGCAGGAATCTAGAGGAGAAAAAAGCGGTTATGATACTCGGTAAGAACTTTGAAACTTAGGGTTTCTTAGATCCTGAATATAACTCTTACCACCCTTGAAGTTTCCATCAATGGCTTTCAAGGCTACAGCGTCCCCCTGCGTGCTTGACTGCTGGGCTGTCTGGTTAAATGCCAGATTAACTAAACATGGCGAACGAAACAAAATTAGTTAGAGAGCCCATAATGCTTGATGGGGGACGAGAAAAAAAAAACGTTTGTTGTTTTGTTAACCGGTATGGTTATCCTGTCACGTGGTTAAAACCAGCAATTCCCCTAGCCATCACAGTCTGATAAATTACAAGAAAATACTTTCTAGCTTGGATATTAGGGATGCTTCAGGAAAAAAAGAGATTAAGAGTGTTAATTACGCAAAAAGTAACTTTGGTGTACCGTAAATGGTCTAATTGACGTCCTCGCTCAAATAAACGCCTTCCCTGCGATGTAAAATTTGTATTAGACACCCCTCTCCAATAAACGCCCTCTGTCTAATAGACGCGCCCCACTTAAGTGGAGTTTGAAAAGCCAAAACTAGTCAGCTTGAAAAAGGTTATCATTAATTTTTGTTAGGATTGCCTTACCTTGACTAAATGAACAACCAATTACTTCTGCTCTCATGCACAATAGATAACCACGAAAAGCCTGGGGAAGAATTCTTATGTATCTTGCTGCCACACGGTAACTGAAGTGATTTGTGAACTGATAGTAGAAACCTTGAAAAAGCTGATGAAAGTGAAGATGTCCGTCAAATAAAAAACATCAATATAGACTGTTTCAGGCGTTTAGATAGTTGAGGAGAGTAGAGGGAAAGGAGGGATCCTTCGCTCTCGCTCGCTACCCTGCTCCTTGGCTATTTTTCCTGCTCACATCTCTTCGCCCCGTCCCCACAAGCTGAACACGCGGAACTAGTCAACAATAGTTCCGCAAATATATGATAAAGAATTCGGAAACCCTGTTATCGTAATTTGAGTACACATTTAACAATCTGCCTCATCCTCAGTCACTCGTGATCATTTGGCGAGGAGGGGGGATTTGAGTTAATTATTAAGGAAAGCGGGGGTAAAATGAGGAGGGCAGAAAATCCGTAGCTCTTTCTCTCTTTTCCTTCCCATCATTCCACGCTCACGTTCTACGCTAGTTCCCATCATCCCCCTCTCGCGCTTCTTGCTTGTTCCGTGCTCCTCAGCTAAACCTTGTGAAGCCTGTTGAGGGGGCAGTTTATCAATGATCATCAGGTCTTCATGAGATAATCCGTCTGGAAGGTTGGGGAGGTAGTATTCAGGGCGGTCCAGAGTCAATCCACCCATTAAAGTAATATGATCACAATTGACACATGTACATATATAGAGGATATTATACTGTGGCGAGAAGATATGAATTTGATATTGTTCTTGCCACGAGAACATAAAATTCATATCTTCGAGCCAACGTGTAATGTTCTTTTTATTATATGGAGAAACCAATTCAACAAAAGCAAAAGGCGGGAATCGTGACGTCATTGAACGATACGACACTCACAAAGGTGACATACAGAAAATACGCCACTCGGGTCCCGGATGAAGTGGCGTATGGAATCTACGAGTGGTTTAGTTCCCAGTAAAACACTCTCCTCCATATAATAAATTGTATTACCCTTTCTGTGCCATTCTCTTTATAGACAGTCCAACGCTGACCATCAAGACTGTAGCTGACGCGATATTGAGCTACATAGTCAGGCGTATGTCGCGCACCTTGTGTAATGACACCGCTGACCAGTCTTGTGATACCTTTAAAATATAATGACAATTAAGCTAAAAGAACCACTGGAGAATCCTATAGGAGTTCATACACAGTACAAAGCTGTGTTGGAGAATATGTCAATATCCCGTACACCCATAATGTCTCATTTTTGGGCGGTGTGTCATAGGCTTCGACTGCCTTTGGTGTAGCATGAAATAGAAGGACAAATAGATCATGGCATTATTGCTTAGATATTTCATTTTCTCCTTACGTAACTCATTTTACTTCGCATTACAGTTTGCCTGGCCTAAATGAACTCAGGGATTGACGGGGAGTCTGAACAGCGCCCCGAATTTAACTAAGAAACCCTAGGCTTGCATTGAGGGTGCGCATTGCATTCTTCCCGACTTAAACGAACTCAGGACTCGGACACTGATTTGGGGGTAACAGGATCAATAATGCTTGCGTTAACTGGGGTTAATTGGAAATTGAAAATGCATTAAGAGACCCTCGTTTACTTCACTCTATCAATCTGTTTCGGGTTGAGACATGGTGTAAAGAGAGTGATTGCAATGAAAATTTAAAATATCTGTTTGATCCCGAAAGTGCCAATTCAGCCCTGCAGGCCATAGTCTGATTCAGCCTCTCTCAGAGCCATTAGAGTATAATTTAAGCTAAAACAGCCCCATCAAAAGGCTATTCCAACCCGCTATGGGCCCCAGTTCAGCCCTTGGGTCCAAATCAGCCCTAGCTAATTGGGCTGTATTTTACTCACCGAAACGGCCTCATTATTAGGGCTAGAACGGATCTTTCTGATTTACAGTGTGGACATTTTGCTTCAACTGACCGAGTAAAATTTTGAAAAAACCTGCTAGTATATAATGTTTCTGTACATACCAAGATCGATCTGCATGTAATGCGGTCCTGGGTGTTTTCGTTTTACGCACCAGGAACCCCACGGGTTATCCAGTCGACCCATGTGAGGCTGTAGATGAGCACGCGGGTACGAAGACGAAGCAGTGATCTGATGATCTCGAATGACAAACCTGTTTGCCATTCCCAGTCTATAGATACAAACTGAAAGGAACATAACGCGCTTACAATGCATTGAAGACTGTTAATGATATATGAAATGTTAATGATATATGAAGTAAATCATATATGAACTGCGGAAATGAAATGAAAAGCAAGAACTGATCGTCGCAGTGAACGCAATTTATGGAATTGCGTAAAGAAGCCTGAAAAAAAAATTTAGGACTTCAACGGGGTTTGAACCCGTGACCTCGCGATACCGATGCGATGCTCTACTAACTGAGCTATGAAGCCACTGACGTTGGGTGTAGGTCAATTGTGGGTTCATATGTTCCCGTGAAAGAAATGAGTGTTAATGATGTATGAAATATATCATATATGAGGACTGTTAAAATGATGTGAAAAGTCCATGCACAAATTTAAAATTTAAAATCATGGCGGATAAAACTGAAGAATTGAGAGGCGGCACTTCTTCATGAACTCACCATGCTCGCAACAAGAAAATCTTTCAGACGAAATACCGCTTGAGTTCAAATCACATCATTGACTAAACAGATTAAAACTTTTATGACATATTATTTTACTGGAAACTTCGTTCAACTGATAAGCGGCATAGAGGTTTCAAATACCATAGTTTTCCTTGATTCATCAGTGTTACCAATTTGTTTCAAATCAGCCATTTTCCATATAAAATTGTCCAATTTACCAAATTTAGCATGAAGCAGGTTTGTTAATCGAAGAAAAAGGCAATTCTCATCCTTCACGTTAATTGTAAGCTCCATCAAGTTGCCAAAAGCCTTGAGATACTGTTACTTACAAGACCAAAAATGGTGTTTATCAGTACACTTGGCATGATTTAAGCCCCTCTCCCCCGCTGTCACAGACAAAAGGATTCCAAGGTCAACTTCAAACTTGCTTTGACAACTTTGAACAGTGGAAGAGGTGAGAATCTTTTATAATCCAAAGATTTTCACCCCTGAGGAGGGTAAAGAAAGCATCTTTTTTTGCAACAGTTTCTCGACCATTTTGAAAGTAGTTGTCTCCAATAAAAAAACCCTTAGACCAAATATTTAAAAACTTACTCGGAAAACGAACATTTGTCCCGCCCAAACCAGGAGCAATGTCAGCGACCTTTTCAGTTTCGTTTTTGTTCGCATCTTGGTCAGGTTGCTCTTCCCTTCTCACTGGAATGAAAACAAAGGAAGATTGGTTGGTGTAAAAATGCAACTTATCGTTATCATTAAGTAATGACACTGTCAGTATTTCAGTGAAATCAGTTGTATTAAGGCTAAAGAATCATTATCTTGCTTTATGGTATCACATGACAAGTGCGTTCAATTGTTAGGAAACTTGAACTCGACTAGCTTGTAAAGACTGTCGATAAACCTGTCATTAAACCCCATGCAGTTACTTAGCCCCCTATTTTCAAACCTTTTATTCCTAAAAATAAAGATGCTTATTTCCATAAACTAAAAAATAGGGGGCTATGAAGTAAGCGACCTTAAACCACAAAAAGCGTTAACTAAGATCCTTAGGTAAAATAACTTGTTATTAACTCAGCTGATAATACCAGATTTTCCTCTTCTTTCTCTCCCGGGTTTTAAAAACTGTACATCTTTATATCAGTTCACTTTAATATCTGTTATAGTCCAATGCTATTCTTGTTCTAGTTATATGCTAGTTTTTTTATTGGTTGTTGTATATAATATAATATTGGTCTTAATGTTTTGCTTTCATGGTAAAGTCGCCCTCCATGGAAACCAGCCGAGTCGTATTATTGGGGGGTAGCTTGTGTCTCCTTAATTTATTTAATTTTTTTTCTTAAAAAACGAAAGTATAACCTACCTTACTGTCTACTTTAAGACATAAAACTAAAGTTTGAAGCTTGAAACGAACCTTTATTATAGCAATCGAGTTTAATCAAAATGGTTTGCTATTAACACAGAGGGATTGGGGCGAAGGGCAAGAGGCAACTCGGATTTCAATTTTCGATTCTTACAACAAGTAACTAATTTACTCTTTTTCCGCTTAAACGGATAGTTTAAGAACCACGTGCACAAGACTTTAGTTTGACACAACCCATTTGAGCATTTATGCTGCAAAACGTTAATGATTCATATACTGTAAACACATTGTAAGATTTCAAAAATAATTAAAACGTCTTAATTTTTTCTGTTAGTTCAAAAACCTCAAGTAAGAGTCGATCGGTAATAAAATGCTAATTACAAGAAATCGTGTTGAGCTATCCGGTCCATAAGTCCGGGTAGGATGATTCTGACAGAACTTATATACTATCCGTAAAAAACACAAGATTATCTCCCTCTTTAAATGTTACCCTTTGTACAGATTGAAATAAAGCTCAGATTACTTATGCAGAACACATAAACGTACCTCTTTTCAATAGTTTACTTGTAGAATCCTTCAAAGGATAAGACATCAAAGGAGAAACAACCGCCGCCATGACCAACGCTGCTATAACCCGCTTCATGCTGCAGTCGAAAAAACACGGCTGCACACCGTCGTAACTGCAACGCTTTGTCGGTATAAGCTTCTTGACGCGAAAAAAAGCGCGGCTTTAGCCGGGTTAGATACTGGTACTCTATTAATTATTAAACAACGAGGGAACGAATATACATAGTGGCAGTAAAGTATGTAAATCCAGACAGCTCAATATTCACAAATACGGGTACCTGCTAAGTATAATTCACTAACAAAGCATCGCTCGACTGTTGAACGGCTTGTTTTATTTTGCGCGTGCATTCATTTTTGCAACCACTAGAACTTACGAACTGAGGCAACGAAACTGAAACTGATGCTACTTTGGGAAACATGGAACCACTAGAACTATGAGAGTGGTACTAATCGAATAGCTCTTTTAGAACACCCTACCGAAATGAACGTTAGAAATGCCTTATATGTTTTGATTCATGGTAACATAGTTAAGTAACGATAGCCAGAAACAAGCGTTAAATTTGATGTTTTTGGCGAGAAGACTACGCACGATTTCGTAAAATCATGGGGTAGAGTTGCTGGAACAAGAAGCATCGCTTGTGTGTTGGTTTTATACCGAAAGCTGATGAGATAAACCATCGTTTATCTGTTTAGAAGATCCCTTTTAGCGATTAACAGCTTTATAATGTCAAGATTGAAAACATTTGTATGTCAAAAACATCGCAAAATCTTCAAGATTTGGAAGGCTCCCAGTAAGACCTTTTGGTAACAAGGACTAAATCCATCAGATATTCTTCGATTCCATTTGCCGTTCGTTTGCTCATCAGCAAGCTGAGTTACTGCGTTACTAAAATGATATGTAGAGCATCATAGTTATCCAAAGGTCTCTTTAAATTTTACAGCAAAGACAAGCCGGAGAGAGGGGTTGGGATTTAACATCCTTTTATCGTCAGAAAAATGTGCTCATGTGCATGAAGCGATTCTTCCCATTATAAATTTCGTCTTTAACTTAAAGAGAGTCAGGGTCAACAAAGAAAATTAGTAAGGTGGAGTTCCTTGTTAACAGGTAAAAGCGTTATTGTGGCAACTAACAACTAACTCTCGTTTTAGTACCCTACTCCCACCCAGCCACCTCCCCCCCGACTCCACCAACAACTCGGCTATAGGGCTAGACCCAAAAACGTGCAAAGAACAAAAAAAAATCTCATTTAGTTGGAACTTTTATCCATATCGGTACATTGTACTGTGTTTGAGTTACTCATGTTGATGATTTCTATATGGATCATCATATAAAAGGGAAAGTACGTTTGATCAGGTGTTTGACCTTTTATTGGTTATTATTCTCTTCGTGTTACCGTTAATTGACATCTGTTGGGTAGAATTTAAATAAAAGAGCCGTTTTTCTCACTCTGCTTCTTTTACACAGCAAGGGCACATTCGGGGGAACTAAATGTTGTATGAAATGGACATTAGATAGTAGCAAAAGATATATATGTTCAGTAAGTTCTCTTGCAGGTCCTCGATGTCTCCCATGTAAGGAATCCAAAACAGTCTTGGATCCTGTATTCCACGCCTTTGATTCCGAATTTCAGGTTCTAGATTCTTTGTCAGTGGAACTTTGATTTAGGATTCCATTCGTTAGTGGGATTCCGGATTCCTTGAGCATTCCGGATTCCAAAAATTTCCCAGATTTCGAATAGGCCATTTCCGAGTTCCAAAAAATCTCACTTTCAAAGCGAGGCTAAGTGCGAAGCCATTGATATGAAAATGATTTTTCATTATGATACAAATAAAAGTCATTTTCACAACAAAGGTTTCGCACTTAGCCTCGTTTTGAAAGTGAGATTTTTTGGAACTCGGAAATGGCCTATTCCACAGGCAAAAATGTCCCCGATTCCGGAATCTAGATTCCCTTTCACCACGCGCAAGGACGATTTTCCGGCTGTCCCCGACTTCTATGGCCATCGACACAATAGTAATATGTGTTGGAACATATATTTGTACAATGCAAACTACAGGAAGTATGTTCGCTGTATTAATGATCATAGCTTATCTAGTTTAAATTGTTACTACAAAGAGTTTCTCGTGCTACTCAATTTTAAACCTAAAATGGCTACGATTAAGGTGCCTGTGAACTGTCGTTCAACTCCATACTGCGACAATAAGAAATCAAATTAAAGTTAAAATCTTTCCTCTCAATACATCGTTTCGGCTGCGTTTATTTGTAATTAGCTCAATATTGAGAAATAACCCACAAAACAGCAAACAACTGGTAAAGACTCTTATGTTTTACTACTAACCTGTCTAACTAACCAATCACATGTTGATATTTTTCCAAATTGATTGAGTCACAGATATCATTGACAAAAGTTTCGCACCTCGCAAAACGCCGTCTTGGATTGATCTTAATTGCCACCGATTAATCTTTGATTCTAGGTTGATGGTTTTCAAGCATCATGTCACGCGTAGTTATAATCTTAACTCTTTGTGCCATGGCCGCTGCGTTGCCAATCATAAGGATAAAGAGTGAGTTGAACTTTATGAAATATTCATTTCCATTGTAGTAAACAGTTTATTATCGTTTTATTACAGATTTATCGGCGATTTTCATGCCAGTGTTCTTGTGTTATGGTCAGATTCATTATTACTGACTTATTTTCTGAATTCGTCATTTGTTGAAATAGAATATATTGTAGACAATAACGCTACTATAAGTGAAACTGAGATACCGCCAAACAGTCCTTGTTTAAGGAAAAATTAACCCTTACAAGGATTATAACAAGAAAAAAAGGCCATCTCTCAACAAACATCTAACACGGCCGTAAGTATATATAATCGGCAGTATTCACATTAATCCAAACCAAAGCAATCCAAGCTAAGGCGTACATTTGTGTACAAATGATTATTGAAAGTGAGACGTACGTTTGAACCATTCAGCTGTGTAATTACCTGTTTTTGGCGGGAAAAATGTTGAACTTAACATTGTTACATAAACAGAGCGGGGCCGTGATTATTTTAGCTAAATGCTAGTTTTTAGTTTTAGGGTAAAATTAAACCTGAACGAGTTCAGTATCAAATCTATTACCATTCACAAGTATAACAATTACATTCTCCCTACTCTTCGTACCCACTCGAAGCGGCTGTACTGAAAATATTCATAGCTCTTGAAATGTCAACATTTTCAGTCACCTTCCATCGACACTGATATGAATAATTGTTCTTACTAGTGTATACCGAGCCAATGATATAGTCGGTCACAATATTAATCTTGTCCCGCCGCGTTGAACAGTCCAAATAATCGATAGTGAGCAAAACTTGTGCAGCTTTCAAACAAGTTTGTTAGGGAAACTATATTGAAAAGTAACCAACGAACTCTGCTTTGCTCACGTTTGATTTCTAGGCCAGCGACCTAGTAATCGGAAAAAGCGTTTTACAGCCAAAGAAAAAAGAAGTTAATTTAATACATGGAGAGGCAGGCAAAACAACTGTCCAAACAATTGTTTGAAGTTGGGGAAATTGTAGAAAAGTTCACATACCAGCCACACGAGAAACCATTCAGTCGGTGAACGGGGCACTACAGGTGAACGAGGTTTCAGGTTTACGAGTTCAATATTTCAATTGATGCGGAAAAGCGCTTGATAGCAAATAGCGTGACAGAGAACCTTAAAGTTTATTAATGATCTTTGTAAATTGTTGTGTAGATGCCAATGGTCAGAAGAAGTCTTACTGTTGTTACGGAGTTGTACAGCCCTTCGATCTAACGGCAAAGGCCAAGCAGGGACTACGAGCTTTGCATCAAGTTGGGTTTGACTTAAACAAACTTCGCAAAGTAGTCGAAATTTACCAGAAGGCCGTAGAGGGAAAACTGAAGAACGTGGAGAAAGAAGCCGAAGACTTAACTTATAGAGTGCAAGCGGCATTAAAAGCGACGATGAAAATATTGTCAGATGCTACCAAGAAGGCCTCTAAAACACTGAGCGAAGTTACAGGTATTTGATATAAACGCTTCTAACGCTACAAGTTAACAAAATATAGGATACTTCTATTGACTGCAGATGGGTGCACAGTGAATGGATGTGTCTGTTTTAAAACAGGATTTCTTCTTTGCGCTTGGTTTGTCATACCAGGCAGTTTTGTCTTATTTTAAACCTCTAACTGAATATCCCACAAAAGGATGGAATCTAGTATTCACGTTATGTAATAACAACAACTGGAAAAAAAAAGAGAGAGAAAAGAAAAACGAAAGAAAGCAAGAAACTAGGAACTATCCTGGATCTGAGCTAAGCTGGTTATAATTTCCTGTAACACTTTCAGAAAACACGTTGACATGCACTGTCCTTGCGAGAGTAGCCTTATTGCTTCCCTCTTTTCCTACCATTCCCCCAAACCACCCCCTCCCTTGTTAGGTCCACGGGGTGTGCATGGACATATGCCGAAAAGGGCACAAAAATCTGCAAGCTTTTCAAATTTCAAATCTTCTTAAAGCTTCCCTCTTTCCCTGCTATCCCCCCACCCCACCCCGCCACTGTTGGGTTCATGGGTTCGTAAGCCGGAAAGGGCACAAAAATCTGCAACTTATTCAAATATTATCAGAGAATGTAGCATTCAACTGTTGAAGTTTTCCGTTCCAATTTAAAAGTCACAAATCTTTCTTTTCTGTTGCTTTTTTCCCCTTGGTGTCAACAGTTACAATTGTTGAACTCAATTCAGGGTGTTCGGCTGTTGCTGTACTCCGATATACATCGGAGGTGTCTAACGACCAATAAAACAACGCGTAATAAATAATTTATTTAATTAAATGCAATGTGGTTAATCTCTATTTCTTATAGAGGCTTCAAATGATCTCGGACAACTTGGAAAAGATATCCAAGAGACAAAAACCCACGACATGATAACAAAGATTAGAGAACTAATCGCGGAAAAACCAGAATCCAGTAAGAAATCTATCGACAAGAAAAAGCTGAAGAAATCTGATGCAGGGCCAAAGGATAGCAAATCCAAGGACAAGAAAGCCGATCATCATCACAAAACATTAAA